TTATTTATTTATTAAATAATTACTTATTGTCATTTTTAGCATTTAAGTAATGTATACGCAATATTCCTCCTTAAATAAGGACAGTAAAGTTATTATATTGTTTTCAGCATTCTAATAATTCACTATGTATAAACGTTCCTAAAATTGAATGTTACCTTTCTCCGAATTTCATGTTAGATTGTTGACATTTTAGGAAGCACGATTATTTCTTTATTCCTGGATTAACATGTCTGTTACTCCACATTTTTGTAGTATCCATTATGTTTTGATGTTATAATCAGTAATTGTTCATGAAACATGCTCTAATCAATTTATTTTTGTCAAAATAATAATTCCTAAAACTTTCCCAAAATGTTCATGAGGCTGCCATCTTTGTTTTAGGTACACGAGTACCGATATGAAAGGAAGCATATTTGACTTTATTGTGTAACATGTATTTTGTATTATGTGATTATAATGTTTGCTTCTCAAATTGTTCAAGAGATTTACTGTAATATTTTATTTTTGTAAAACAAGACCGCACTATTTGTTCGGTCATACGCGTAGTAAGTAAAGTTGTGGAATCACCCTAATTCTCTTTAAATTGTAATAATCCTGCTAAATTACCATAAGTATTTAATTGAAATGTATTTAATAGCATAAGTTTTATTTTTCAACATAATGATTACTTACAACTTTATATGTTTACTTTGTATTTTGTTATTATGATCTGTTGAGCTGTTTACTCATTTTAGGATGGGAATTCCTAACCGATTCTGATTGGCTTAGATAAATCCTAAGTGCAATCTGATTGGTCGTGAATCCTTTCCTAAATTCCTAAACGGCTCAAAGGTTATAAATAGAGCGACAGTCCTCATTTTGGAACAACAACGCCCACTTAAGTTGCTTAGGCGCGATAATTCAAAACTGAGCAGAAAACATCAAAACTGAATTTTAGTAGGAAGACTCCTAAATCACATTGGAATATGTATTAAACTTTTATTAAGCAACTTTCCCTGAATGAGAGCTGACGTGCTTCATGTTATTACTTTTAATCCTAAATTAAACGGATATAAGACCAAAGAATTCAAACATGATAAAAGCGTTGTTGACTTATATTTAAGGAAATCATAAAATCACTTAACATAGCGCTCATGAAATGATGCTGAAATATTGATGATAAGATATATTAAAAGTTAGTATATATATATGCAGTTTATGTATACAAAACTGATGTATACACTATTAAACCAAAGAATTGAAACTTGATGAAAGCGTTGTATTATTTTTCCGGATATCCTAAAGAAAAGAGCCTACTAATATAACATTGAAACCAGGTGCTGTATATTACTGATGCTAAGTTAGCATATATGTTTATACAGTAGAACTTGTGGCGTATTTTTGAAACAGCTATCCTGACACTGCGGCAAAAGTACGTTACATTAGGGCTTTTATTTGAACTTGGTAGACATTCATTAGAAGATGTTTCATGCGAAATACCTAACCTCTAGCTCTTTGTGTTTTGTTTTAAAGAAGATTTTTAAAAGTTTTTACACAAGAGGATATTCAATGGCCTCCAGGGCGGGGATCTCAGTGATTTTATTTGAATAAATTTGGTAGACACTCACTAGTTTAATATTAAGCTCTCGCTCTTTGTTTTTTTTTTTTTAAGAATATTTTTAATTTTTTACTATATACATATAACACATAGAGAAAATCATTGACCCGTTGAGAGGGGCCAATTTCGACCCCAAGGCTTTTATTTGAACAAACTTGGTACTAGACGATTTTCCCTGCTTAATATCTAAGCTCTAGCTCAAAGAAGATATTTTAAGTTTTTACTATATACGTACATATATGGAAAATCAATGACACCAGGGAATAGGGCCAGTTTTGACCCCACATCCCAGGGCTTCGATTGGAACAAACTTGGTAGACACTCACTAGAATATGTGTCATGCCAAATATCAAAGATCTAACTCTTTGGGTTTTTAAAAGAAGATTTTTTAAGTTTTTTCTTTCGGTTGACATGGCAACCAGAGTTCTGTATGGAATAAAATTCTTCGAACAATTTTCAAAGGTGACCACCAAGGGAACATTCCTGTGAAGTTTTGTATGAAATTGGCTAAGCCATGAGAATGTGTCGTTTAAAGAAAAAGTTTACGGACGGACGTAAACTTAGATATTGAGCATGAAACATCTTATATTGAGTGATGAGCGATCACAAAAGTCGAGGTACAGTATTCAAATGGTCCCGGGTTCGAGTCCCCGTCAGGCTGCACATTTTCTCACCCTGAGAAATACAGTATACATGTAACTTTAGAAATACTGATTAGTCCCATTTAGCACGTATGTACAGAATGGATGCATAATTGAAGAGTTTAAAAAATATGCTGTCAGTAACCAATTTTAACTAGAATTCTTTGTCATTTAGGGCATAACTCCATGATATTGCTTTAAATATTAATATGTATCTTGTCTTGTTTTTTATGTTTGATTGATTTGCTACATTAAAGATTTTGTACATTGACTCCTACTTCATTGTTTTTAAAGCCTCAGAAAATGCAATAGGTTTTATTACTCACAAACTTTTATACTTGGTATCTTGTTACAGTTTCCAAACATTTACTCATTCATTTGCTACAAAGCTGAACTATCTGTCGCTTCTTTTTCACTGTTCGCAACTGGTATAACTAGAGTGAATTAGTATTTTGAATGGATGTCAAAGTACATTGTACTATTTTGTTTACATTTAATTTTTACTTAAAGTCTTTGCTACATTTATGGCGCATTTTTGTACATTCAGTGCTACGTACTCTTTTGTAAGACATCTAATTTGCTAATTAGACATTTCAAGAGTATTGAAAAGAATGTGATTTCTGAGGCATAATGTGCCTTTGATAAGCACTCATAATACCTGGACTTTTTTTATCGAAGCAGACGAGTTGAAAATGATCGAATGTAAACTAAAACGGCCTCTCGATATCTCCTTTCACTAAATCGGTGATATCTATGGTTCGTTCTCTTGGAAATCGGGAACGACTTACGAGTACGAGTTCCTTGTCATTATTTATGTCCAGCGCCTGCGACCTGTCCCGAAAAATGCTCTCCAGTCGCAGGGCCCTTCGTCGATGAAAAACTAGCATGAACGCGGCCATGTTTGATTTCGGAGTGGTTTTGACTTAGGTCAGTCCTAGGATACCTTTAAAATATTCCTTGACTTAGGACTGTTTTTGGTCATAAATATAGGAGTTATAAGTTAGAACCGTTTTCAAGACTTTCTTTGAAACGCAATCCTCTCATTTCTTATCTTAGGGCCGACTTTAGACTCAGGACTCTCCATGAAACGTAGCCCAGATATCTCTTCATAAATTTAAGCTTTTATTTATGAAATCATTGCTTCACGCAATTAATGAGCTAGCTAAGATTTGGTCTCTTTGTTTAGATTCCATAGGTGAATGTTTAGAAGTTGGCATAAACCTTAACTGCCTTACACTTAATACGAATATACATTTGATTGCATGTCAGGAATGTAAAGCCTACATGAGCCATGGGTATGTACATGTACCAATACTGGAAGCAAACTCGAAGGTGATTTGATTTTTTTTCATCAAAATTGAAATACAAAAATGTACTAATTTAAAGTCACTTTGATCTTTTTTGACAATACCAGCGTCTTAAAATGTTGTTGACCTTAATATTATGATTATTCTAAGATCGCTCGGTCTAACTATCCCAAAGACACCCCAAGAATACTTCAATATGCCCCTAGGCAAACCCACGACTACTTTTAAACACCTTTAAGGGATATTTTATTTAAAATAAAAGATATAGTGCTGATTTAGGACTGTTAATTGATTTTTAATGCGGTAAGATGTACAAAATCTATGGGTAGTAAAGTATATAAGAATGCATGTCCATGCAGTGGACTAACTAATTTAAATGCATGTAACTACACGTATTTTCATTTTATCCATGAAAAATGATGCCATAGTAGTCAAATATGTCATATTTGTTAAAAAAAAACAAATATGAAAAATAAATAAGAAATTTAAGTAGGCGGAGTCAAAACTCATATCTATTTTCTCAGATGATTTTCTATGCCTGGCAGTCAATTAAGCTTTGAACAGCTTTTCAGTTCATTACCAGAAATTTTCTGGTTATGTTACCTCAAGACAGTTAAAGATGAATAAATCACGCACTTTAGAATAGTCAGTGTATTGCGTAACAAATGGGCGTTTTCATAAAGATTTCTTTCCTTGAAGGTAAAATTAGATAAAAAGGTTACTTTTTTTCGTTTTTCATGAAATATGGTATATTTTCACTTAACATGATAAAATTCAATATGTTGCCGAATTATTAATTTATTCAATATCATTATATTTTTCCTATTCGGTGGCATACACAGCTTATCTTGAAACTAATGGGATTTATTTCTACCTCCTTTAAATTTCAGAAAAACGACAATTTGATAGTTCTACGTAAATGCACAGATGTAATATTTTTTAAAAAAGAAAATAAAAGATTTTCGTTATTTTCTAAACGTCAATTTTTTCTGAAGAAGACTAAACGTCGAAAGCTTAAGAAATGCGTTTGTTTTTATTGAACTGATTATATAAAAAAAAAGAAAATAACATCTTTTAACTAATTTTCAATTGGGACCCAAAAGTATTTTAGTTCCCAGTTTTTAACCAATTAACATCATAAATCACTCATTATGATAACAATTTGAATACATTTGTCTCCTAATGCCTGGTAAATTTTTTCTTATTAATTAAGGTGTCTCATAAATAGCGATGTGTTTGTGCCCACAGGGACCCAGCGCAGTGTTGGGATAGTGTAAAAAGTAATTCTAGAAAAAAAATACTGTATATATAATATAAAGACTTTTTACACTATTCCAAAACTGTGCTGGGTCCCTGTGTGGGTGTGTGCCTACGAATATTACAGCTAACAATTAGTGTTGTATGACCGTACAAAATTAATTTAGCGTCACTATGCCGATTAACGGAAAGGACAATGACCAAAGTATTCCAAATAATACAGGAAGTAGAATTTTTTGACAGCTGGCGGTGTCGGTTTTGATAAGAATGGCAGGTAACGGCGGGTTTCAAGCTTCGGGAGGTTACAATGACAGGCCTCCGTCTTCTACTGGCAGCGGCGAACCAGATGTGGGTGTTGATCCTGCAAGCAGCAGTTTCTTTAACAACGAGTTTAAACGGTATACATTTTACTGCTATGTTAAAAAGTGGGTGGGGTATGAATTTTATTCCTTGTGAGTTGGTCTATCCAAATCAGCTTATAATACTCGCAATCAATAAATCCATGGTTTTCACTATAGTGTTTAGTGTACTTAAATGATTATTTCACTTATCTTTTGTCCGGGACTGACACTGAAATCAGGTGAGTGTCCCGGACATGTCTGGTAGATGAATTTTGTCTGGGTATAAACAAAAATCTGAAATTATCTCCTTTGCAGCAAGAAATAAATAAATTTTTATGCAATCTTATTGTCAAGTTAATATTTACCATGATGATAATCCACAGACAGTATAGCAATGTACAGGAAATGGCGACAGTAATCGTTTAATTGGTAAATCTAAGTGACGTTAATATGAAATTAGGCAAAGCCTATGAATGGGGATGTTGTTAAAAAATTCCTTTCATTCTTTCCGTTTTAAAGGTGTCATTCGGTATTACATGCTCTTCTTTCCGTTTTCACTCGGGAATACTCGACGACTATTTTTTATCCGAAAAGTTGAGATTTGTTCCGTTATCGGAATACCCCGCCTATTATCATTGAGTTACATTGTAAATGGCGGCGCCCGACTAGAACTGATAGTGAAAATTTCATTGATAGGTATAGAATTCTATATATTTTTTAATTGTTTTTTATTTGATTTTCTTTTAAATTTACACGTGTAGTCTATAGCCGGGCAAGCCAAAGCCCTGACTCGCTTCGCGGGCCCGGTCTTTGACTTCCCCGTAATAATTTAGATGAATTAAAAGTTAAGTTATGTATCCCCAGAAGCTTGCTGAGCGAAGGTGTCAAAAACTGTAAGCAATTGGAGCAATGGTTCAGCTATTTTTACAACATGAAATGGCTAATTGTCCTTTTATAACATAGTTTTATGCTGTTCTGTAACAAATTGAATTTACAAACCCTTGTTACTTTTAAAAAAGATAGATAGATGGAATATAGGTATTTCTTGTGTTTTCAATGACATAGTATGAAATACTTGGAAGGGCATGTTACAGCACCTATCTATAGATAGATGAATTATATGAAGTTTTTTTTTCTCTTGTATTATAAATTGCAGCCATGAAGATCTGAAGATAATGCTGGATAGTAACAAAGATTCACAGAAACTTGATGCTATGAAGAGAATTATTGGAGTAAGTATGAAAATCGAGGATAATCCTGAGATAAAAAAATATGGATTAAAAAAAATCCCCTAAGGATTGCCAATGAAATTCTCTGAAATGGTCTGTGATGAATTTTAGGCCGTCATTTTTCACAAATGATTAAGAATATTTTCTAAGTTTTTAGGTACTCCAAAATACATTGAGACAGGCACTCTGGCCTCAAGCTGCCTCCTTATGACAATCAATGCTAAATTGCTTGTGATATTTCTAATAACATTTAGATTTGATTTTCTTTATCAATGGTGGAAATTTTATTTATGAATTGATGTTGTTTGTTATTCCTAGTGTCAGATGCTTGTATATTTAAAAATTTTGGTTTTCAAAAGCAATGAGATTTTTCATGTATCCAATTCAATATGTAATACACTGAACGATATTTTACAACTAAATATTTCAATAAACTTTAAATATTATATTACATACTTTTTGGGTTAAGACAATATTTTACAACTTAAACTTTTCAATTAACATTAAATATGTATATGTTGCATACTTTTTTTGTTAAAACGATATTTTACAACTTAAACTTTAGATCAGCATTAAATATGTATATTACATATTCTCTAGGTAAATCAGTGTAATATTTCATCAGATTTTGAATTGTGAAAATACCAGTCATTTCTCCATATGATAAAAAATTTGTATAAACAATAATCATCTATATTTTTCCTTAAAAAAGTTCAAATTTAATTTTTTTCATAGCTGTGGGCTATTGGTCGTTCCTGAGTTATATGTAGTATTGTTGTATTGTGTATTTTCATTTTTTTAAGATGGTGGCCAAAGGCAAGGATGCCTCAGACTTATTCCCTGCAGTGGTGAAGAACGTAGTCTGTAAAAATCTAGAGGTAAGTTTATAGTCGTCCTTATTAACATCATTTTAGGGTTCATTATAAACATAAATAGACTGATTTTGACTTACTTGCCTGTTTTTATCTGAAGCATATCTTAACTTGTCTGTCTGATATTTAGTAAAATAGTAAAATCTTGAAAATTTCAACTTGCCTGTACAGGCTGTGGGACAACGTGGGCAATATGGACAATTGATTTTGCTACCTCTGTTTAAGGGTAAAAACAAATGCTAATGGTGTACGGACAGAAAGAATGTGTTAATCTATTTCTGTAGTAAATTATATAAAATGATAATACAAATGTATTATAAAGTCATCAAAACATATTGTAAGAATTATTTATATAGATATGATAGATTTCTCTATTATCACCTTCATCGTAATCATTATTATTTTACTATTCTCAGCAAACTTGTCTTAAATGTTTTTCATATCTTGTATCTGTAACATTCTCTTTATTATCTAGAATTTAAAAAAAGTGATTGCTATCTTGTATTACAAATTTGTCAATTTAAAATATGATTAGAAATGAATGCTGTCACACTCGCACCATCAAAATGTTATGAAAATAGCACGTCTCTAAGGGTAAAAGTGCATATGAGCAATTCCAGAACTGCATGAACTATGAAAAAAATAATATGAGCAACTGTAGAATATTAGCAACCAGATAATATTAACAACTGGATTATATTAGCAACCAGAGAATTGTATGCAATATTACCCTGAGAGACATGTGCTAGTTTCTTCATCATACTGAACCAACATTTCAATGTATTTTTTCACAGCTATGCACAATTACTTGGAGTGCAATTCATCACTGATTTTTTTTCATACTTGTGCAGGGGAGAGAACTAGAATATTTCATTTTCTTAAGTCAATATAGATTACTTGCCCTTGGGGGATTATTTAAAAAAAATCTATAACCATTCTGCTGTTTTAATTACGTCAGGTGAAGAAGCTCGTGTATGTCTACCTGACGAGGTACGCCGAGGAACAGCAAGATCTTGCCCTCCTATCTATCAGTACATTCCAAAGAGCTCTCAAGGTAACAAGTGTTCTGACATATTTTATAAACACAGAAGTATTTAAAGGCCCATTATGCCTCAGAAATCCATATATACCTTATTCCCATTGATTTGTGACTTCCCATCAATCTGTGACTTTAATAAATGTCTGTTATAAACACTCCTGCAAGGACAAACGATCATTTGAAAACTACACAAGTATTAGCCGACACTTGATTAAACAATTTTATCCATTCAAAATGCATAATTGAACAGGTGTTCAGATCACGAATAAACGAGAGAAAAGCATATATTGAATTTTTTGGAAATGTCAAACATATGTTTAATAATGTTTTGATAATGGATTTAGAGTATATTCGGTGTTAAACAGCTGAGGAAAGTAGCACCGAATGTACAGCAATGCGTCGCAAAGGTAACAAAATGTAAACTAAGTAGTATTTTTACTTCCATATAAAATACTAATTCACAATAATTATACCAATTGCAAACAAAGCAAAGATAGTTCATCTATATGGGAAATGAGCATATTTTGAAAACTGTAACAAGATACCAAAAATTTAATATTCTTGTGAAATAAAAACGATAGCATTTCTGAGGTATAATGGGCCTTTAAGCAAACATATAGATAGATATATTCTTGTACAAAAAATATTTGTTTATTGATATCATACTTACCTTTCTAAACATGTTAAATGGACATGTCTTGCGTAAATTTATAATTTTTTTACTGCCACTATATTAATGCAATCTGGTCAGGCTGTATGTATTTTCAGATTACATCTTTGACTTCATTTTAAATTCAGGTCACTGGTCAATTTGCAACAAAATTTTTAAAAAAGGTTTTTGTACATGTAATAGGAATTTGAAAGAAATAAAATCCTTATAAAGTATACTTGGGTAAAGACAATTGTGATTATACAGTGACTTTGTGTCCGAAATTAAACCTTTTGTAAAATAAGATATAATTGACATTATAGATAAATATGTATTTCTCGACACAGGATCCAAACCAGTTGATAAGAGCAAGTGCCCTGCGTGTATTGTCTAGTATAAGAGTACAAATGATCGCCCCAATTATGATGTTGTCAATTAAAGAAGCTGTGATGGACATGTCCCCATATGTCAGGAAAACTGCGGCTCATGGTATCCCTAAACTATACAGGTAATACTTTGAGATGTTAGGGGAGTATCATACTGGCTGAAAAATGTTAACATCATCTGATACTTGGCCAATAACCTTTAATGTAATATGTTTAGAATTATTTCAAGTATATTCACCCTGAATTTGTCTGAACATGTTTATATGTATGAGAGATTGGTTGAAGAAAAAGATTTGATTATGGTTTATACATATGAGCTGTGCCGTGACAAAACCAACATAGTGCGTTTGCGACCAGCATGGATCCAGGCCAGCCTGCCCATGCACGCAGTCTGATCAGGATCCATGCTGTTAGCTATCAGTTTCTCTACTTGTTATAGGGTTTGTTAGCGAACAACATGGATCCTGATAAGACTGCACGGATGTGCAGGCTGGTCTGAATCCATGCTGGTCGCAAACACACTTTGTTGGGTTTTGTCATGACACAGCTCAATTATATGTTTACAACTTATTTCATATAAATTAACAACTTTGATTAATTGAATAGGGATACCGTAAAAATGGACATATGTACACAGGTCTTATATAGATTAAATATTTTATTTACAGTGACTTTTTTCTGTTTCAGCATTGATCCAGAGTTAAAAGATCAGCTCATTGAAGTGATTGAGAAGCTTCTGGCAGATAAAACTACTGTAAATATTTATTTCTTCATAATTATATAATATTTAACTATTTTTAGAGGTAATTAAATCTGCATGCCTCTTTATGAACCATAATATTTAAAAAAGAATCTACCTTGAGAAAAATGATTTTAAGAAAAGTAAAAAAATTCAAGATTCAAGTAATAGTTTACATGTTATTGCGTTAAATGACTGATTTTTCTTTTTTTGTCACCATATTTGTACTGTGTGACTTAAGCAGCATGGACTATTTTTGTATATTCTGACCTATTTTTATAGATTTTAAGTGCCATATGCAGTACATAAATTATTTTCTTTGTTTACTTAACACTATTTTACTTTTTAATACATTTAAAAAAAAAATTCAACTTTTATTTTTACAGCTGGTTGCCGGCAGTGCGATACAAGCATTTGAGGAAGTGTGTCCGGAGCGCACCGACCTTATACATAAGAACTATCGTAAGTTGTGTAACCTGCTGGTTGATGTGGAGGAATGGGGACAAGTAGTCATCATCAACATGTTGACCCGTTACGTCAGGTCACAGTTCATTAACCCCAATGATGATGTAAGCCATTTTATCATGGTATATCTATACCTTTTAATTAATGACGTTTTATCATGTTATATCTATACCTTTTTTATTATCACCATTTATTGACAAACCTGCCTTTGTTTTCTAACTTTAAAGCATGATGAGCTGTAAAAATCAAGTCCTGGATTGGATACTTTGACATTCCTAACATTAAAAGTAAAAATATATGATAAGTAGGAAATTTTTATCAATTTTGAGTGCACTGTTGTAGAAAAATGGATGGTTAGAGTTCAAATGTGCAGGAATCACGAAGGCTTGAGTGATTAATTACAAAGCATTTGAACCATAAACCATGCATTATTATACTATAATGCAAGAAATATTAATATTTATTTCCATTTTAATATGCTAACAAAAAAAAAGAATTGATAAAACTTTGTTAACTACATTAAGCATAGACAGAATTTCCTGACATTATCATATGTTGTGTAAGCATTTGCTTTTTATGCATTACATATATTGCGTAATAATGCACTTAATTGTCTTATCTGTTTGGTAAGGGAATAGTGTGCAGCATGTAAGAATGATTGTTAAACCAACTTTCTTAATATTTCCAATACATTAGACTTTTGTGTAAAAGTTTAGCATTTAGTGCTTGTGGCTAGAGTTGTTTAACCCTCATGTTGAACCTAAATAGGAATGATTTGTATGTGTCTTTTTAATGTAGGAGAAACCTATATATCTAGCTCAACCAAGCTAAAGTGGTTCTAAGCAAGTCCCAAATTATGTCCACAAACAGAAAAGCATATGATTGGCTGCATGGCCGAGTGGTTTATGTGTTGAACTAGTAATCTAAGGAATGCTGACGGCCTAAGTTCTAACCTCATAAGGGCCAAACTGTTGTTTCCGTGAGCAAGAAACTTTTCACTCATTGTTTATTACTTGTTGGTTCCAGGAACAGATTTGAGCGTGTTTCAATAAGCTTACAGCTTCCAACACAATCAAACTAAACTAAAAGGAAAAGCAGCTGTATTGTTATAATTTGTTACAAATTAAGGGAATTTTTTTTTTTGCTTTAATGGTAAGGGAATTTTTTTTTGCTTTAAATATGGTAAGGGAATGTTTTTTTTGCTTTAAATATGGTAAGGGAATGTTTTTTTTTGCTTTAAATATGGTAAGGGAATGTTTTTTTTGCTTTAAATATGGTAAGGGAATGTTTTTTTTGCTTTAAATATGGTAAGGGAATGTTTTTTTTGCTTTAAATATGGTAAGGGAATGTTTTTTTTGCTTTAAATATGGTAAGGGAATGTTTTTTTTGCTTTAAATATGGTAAGGGAATGTTTTTTTTTGCTTTAAATATGGTAAGGGAATGTTTTTTTTTGCTTTAATGGTAAGGGAATTTTTTTTTGCTTTAATGGTTCCACTGAGCTTTAAAACTTTGAAGAATCAACAAAACAATAATTTTTTAACATCTTTGTACACAGAATGTTGGGGATGAGGTGGACAAACCATTTTACGAGTCAGAGAAGGACAGTAATGAAGATGATGATGATGATGATGACGATGATGATAAGGCCAAGGCTAAAACAAAACCTAGACAATATATCATGGACTCTGATCATAGGCTTATTCTTAGACAGTGTAAACCGTTGTTGAACAGCAGGAATGCTGCAGTAAGTATTGTTTACAATTTTAATTACAGATTATAAATAAATAGTAAAAGATAAGTAGTCAACTGCAAATTCTTAAAATTCGCTTTACCAATGTGTCGGCTGAACAGCCTCCTTCAGGGTACTTAAATAAATAATAAACAAACAGCAGGACAATATGTCAGAAATATCAGAAATATACACATGATGATGCAGAAACTAATTTTGAAAATTGTAAAAGTTGTACATAATAGATATATACAAAATCCTTGGTGCATTTATCTGTATGTTAAAAAACAAGACAAAATGTTTAAGGTAACTAGACAATTAGTTGAGATACACATTTAATAAACTGAATGCTCTCAATCCTTAAAAATTAAAAAAGAAAGAAATTCGTGAAAATCTTCCATGTGTCAGAAAGTATGCAGATGCTATTTTACAAAATTAACAAACCAGTTTGATTCCCTTTAAAAAAATTTATATTTTGCAGAAAAGAAAATATACATGTGTGTTTTAAATTGATGAAGATTATAAATTATGAAAAATAGTTTTTCTAGAAGTATTGATTTCTTGTGTTTTACTTTTTGACAATATCGTCACCTAAGTGCAGTATTGGATTACATTTATCTTCCCTATTAATTTTAGATGTGATTTAACCCATTATTGCACGATATGAGCCGCGTCACGACAAAACCAACATAGTGGGTTTGCGACCAGCATGGATCCAGACCAGCCTGTGCATCCGCGCAGTCTGATCAGGATCCATGCTGTACGCTTACCAACCCTATTACAAGTAGAGAAACTGATAGCGAACAGCATGGATCCTGATCAGACTGCGCGGATGCGCAGGCTGGTCTCGATCCATGCTGGTCGCAAACCCATTATGTTGGTTTTGTCATGACGAGGCTCATATGTTAAACTAGTAATGTATACTGACATGATTTCAGGTTGTGATGGCCGTAGCTCAGTTGTACCATCATTGTGCACCAAGGTCGGAGGTTTCCACAGTTGCAAGGTCTCTCATTCGACTCCTCAGATCTCACACGTAAGTTATTACTCCAAATGTTACATTTAGGAAAATTAAAAACATAAACTTAGCAACATTCAAATAAATTGAGCATATTTACAATAAGTGTATTAGTAAAACTATATCATATATAACAATATGAAAGTTATAGCATTTTGTTCTTGTTTAATTTTTTTGAAATTTTTTTTAATAAGATTATCATATAGAAAAGATGCCTATTTAAACATACAAAGCTTATCAAAAATTCACCAACATTTACTTCTATTTATTACAGAGAAGTACAGTATGTGGTGTTAAGTAACATAGCAACGATGTCGTTGAAACAGAAGGGCATGTTTGAGCCGTTCTTGAAGAGTTTTTACGTGAGATCTAATGACGCCACCCATATCAAACTTCTGAAGTTGGAAATCTTGACAACTTTAGCCACTGAGACAAACATTGCTACAATACTTAGAGAACTACAGGTACTACAATTTATCCTGCTACTGTCTATATCATCAGCTGGATAAAGCCTTGCTGGATAAACTTATCTATCTCCAGTCATTACGTCATATTATGACGTCACATGTTTAGCAGCAAAACAAAACTTCATATAGATTCTATTTTATCTGGGAAAAGAAGAATGAAACCATTTAATTATTCTAAAAACATGATAAAAAGCAGGATAAATCAAATACATGGTTGATGTCGGGATGGAGAAGGTTTATCCGGTGAGCGAGAAAGTCTTGGCGAGCTTTTATATATTAGATGAAAAGTTTGTAATAAAATTTTAATTTTTTTTGAGTAGAATCTATATTGAATTTTTTTATATTTTTACCTTTTAGCTTGTAAAAAACAAAAATAGTTGTTCTGTCCAGTGAAAAGTTGGTTAAATATGAAACAGCCTTTTCACTTAACCTTTTGAATTTAAATAACTTTTCTTATGACTGTGATCTTCATTTTAAATTTCCACAGCTGAACAAAATAAAAGAAATTTTAATTTTTAAAAATTTTTTTTAAAAAAACCCCCAAAAAAAAAAAAAAAAAGGGTTTTTTTTGGGGGAAAAAAAAAAAATTTTTTTAAAAAAAATTTTTAAAAACAAAAAAAAACCCTTTTTTTTTTTTTTTTGGGAAAAATTTTTTTTAAAAAAATTAAAAAAAAAGGGAAAAAAAAACCCCAAAAAATTTTTTTTTCCCAAAAAAAAAATTTTTTTAAAAAAAAAGGGTTTAAAAAAGGGAAATTTTTTTTTTAAAAAAAATTTTTTTTTTTCCACCCCAAAAAAAAAAAATTTTTTTGGGCCAAAAAAAAAAAGGGAAATTTAAAAAAAAAAAAAAATTTTTTTTAAAAAAAAAACCAAAAATTTTTAAAAAAAAAAAAAAAAAAAAATTTTTTTTTTCCCCGGGGCCGGGGTTTTTGGGGGGAAAAAAAATTTTTTTAAAAAAAATTTTGGGGAAAAAAAATTTTTTAAAAAATTTTTTTTTTTAAAAAAATTAAAAAAGGAATTTTTTTTTTTTTTAAAAAAAAAAAATTTTTTTTGGGGAAAAATTTTTTAAAAAAAAAATTTTTTTTTTTTTTAAAAAAAATTTTTTTTTTAAAAAAATTTCCCCCCAAAAAAAAAATTTTTTTTTTAAAAAAATTTTTTGGGGGAAAAAAAATTTTTTTTAAAAATTTTTTTTTTTTTAAAAAAAATTTTTTAAAAAAAATTTTTTTAAAAATTTGTTTTTTTTTTTTGGGTTTTTAAAAAAAATTTTTAAATTTTTTAAAAAGGTTTTTTTTTCCCCCCTTTTTTTTAAAAAATTTTTTAAAAACCCCCCCCAAAAAAAAAATTTTTTTTTTTAAAAATTTTAAAAAAAAAATTTTTTTTTTTTTTAAAAAAACCTTTTTTAATTTTCCAAAGAAAAAAAAAAAAAAAAAATTTTTTTAAAAATTTCCAAAAATTTAAAAATTAAAATTTTTTTTTTTATTTTTTTAAAAAATTTTTTTTTTTTAAAAATTTTTTTTTTGGGGGGCCGGTTTTTTTTTAAAAAAAAAACCCCAAAAAAGGGGGGGTTTTTCCCCGGGGGGGGGTTTTTTAAAATTTTTGGGTTCTTTTTTTTTTGGGGGTTTTTTTAAAAAAAACCCCCTTTTTTTTTAAAAAAGGGGGGAAAAAAAAAAATTTTTTTTAAAAAAAAAAAAATTTTTTTTTTGGTTTAAAAAAAATTTTTTAAAAAATTTAAAATTTTAAAGGAATTTGGGGGGGTTTGGAATAGGACCTTTGGCCCCCGTTTAAATCTGAGGGAAAAAGGCCTTTTTAAAATTTGGGGGCCGTCTTTCAAGGGCAAAAAGGGGAATGGTTTAATTTTTTTAAATTAAATTTTGTTTAAAAAACCTTATTTTTGGCTAAATTTTTTTTAAAATTTGGGAAAAAAATTCTTTTTTTCCTTGAATTTTTAAAAATTTGAAACCATTGTTTAATATGGGGTTTTTTTTTTAAAATATTTTCCCAAATTTTCAACAACTTTAAATAAATTTTTCCCCAGAAATTAATTTTAATTTTTCTTGACGCAGGTGTGAATCTTGGGAAAGGCAATTATCAATACAGGGGGAGGGGGTTTTTAAATGAATTTCTTTTTTTTTGAAAAAGGAGTCAGCAGAAAAAAAGTTTGGGGCGATTAAAACACTTTAAAAGTGCAGGTTAACCAGGCCAGTTAACCAGGTCAGTTAACCAGGCCTGGCCTGGCCTGACTCTATACTGGTTTACCTCACCCTTTACCTGCTGAATTTGTGTAATAGATTTTCCCTTAAATATAGGAGTATATAAATACAAAAAATAGCTATCAATAGTACAAATTTTGCTCAGATTGCACGGATATGATAAAAAAATCTTAGAATTGGTAAATTGTTAGTAATCTTTGTCATAGTAAGATTTGAACTGTCTTTCTTTTAAAGCATTAATTCCCTATACATGTTATTGTACTGATTCTGTGAAAATGGATTCTAATTAGCGATTTTATTTGCAGAACTTTATTTGTATATTTTATTTTTACAGAAAGTGTAGTGCAGAAAAAAGTGTTGGGGGGTTATTTAAAAAGTTTCTTCAGAGCAGGTAAAGGAAAATGTTACGTTTAATTAAACTTATTTTAAACTCAAAATTTGGGAAAATAGGGGGAAAATTTTTTTTTGGTTTTTGGGGTTTGCCTCATCACAAATTTTTAAATTTTGGGTTTAAAAGGGGACCTCCAAAAAAATAATGAAAAAAGAAAAAGGGGCTAAAAAATTCCCAAAAACTTATTTAAAAGCATAATAAAGGGCACTTTCAAGACCCCCAAAATTAAGGCAATTGGTAAAAAACCCTGTTTAAAAACCCCATCCCCGTTAAATTGGGGGCTGTTTAAAAAATAAAACCACCGGGTTTAATTTTTGGGGATTTCCGGTAGAGAAACAAAAGTATAGGGAAAAAAAATTTTTTATTTTAAAGTCTTTGGGTTTGTTTAAAAGGTTTGGGGGTTGGCATTTTAAATTGGGGGCCCCGGTTTAAATTTTTCCGGGCGGAGGTCACTTTTTTTTTGATTTTAAAGAAAAACCTTTCCCAGGGGCCTTCACACTAAATTTTTTTTCCCCGGGAAGGAAGAATTTAAGTGCCCCTTTGAAAGTTTTAAGGAAAAATTTAAGGGAAAACACAGCCTCCCAGGAAAAATGGGGGTGGCTGAACTTTCTCTTTGGTAAATTCATTTGGCTTACTTTCCCTGATTTCCGGTTAAAAATAAAAAACCAAAAAACCAAACTGCTATTGGCTTTTTTAAAAGGGGGTTTTTTAAAAAAACTTTAAATGAATTTTTATTTTTCCCGTCGTCACCAAAATAAGGACATTATTTTTCACATGGGAAAGGTGGGAGATAAAAAACCCTTTCCGTGGCTAGAGGGAAATATCTTATGGTTTTATTGGTGAATATAAAAGATAGAGTCCTAAAATTTCCCCAGAGTACTTTAGGAAAAAAAGGCCCAAACATTCATTCAAGAGGTATGTTGGCAGAACTTATAATAATATTATCATTTTCCATGATAAATTTGCTCATTTTTTGCACTTTTTTGTGCATTTGCTTATACACTGTCTTATAAAAGCATTTACTGTATAATTTGTAAATATATACAGTCCGACCCCGGTTATTCGACAACCCTTTATTCGAATACCCGGCATTATCCGAAGTAGATCGGTGGTCCCGTTTTTATCTCTATATAAAACAATATAAATACGAGCGTATTATTCAAAATGCATTATCCGAATACCTCCTATTTTTCGAAGTAAAATTTCGGTCCCGATTATACAATTATGAAAGAATTTCACACCTATTATTCGAAGCCAGCCTAATTATTATTCGAAGCCAGACTAATTGGCGCAGATCCACTCGCTGACCAGTCGACTTGTGAAAAATATCCACAGTCATGCGTGTAATTAGACAATCATGATAATAACTCTTTGTGTGTTCTTTAATCAACTTTAATTACCGAAAATGAATAGCTATGCACCGTGTCCGATTTTGTTGAAGATGACAGCAATAATTTTTATACAATCCGTATATGTGAATTTGTCAAAACATGCAAAACATTTTTTTTCATTAATTGCAACGCTACATGAGAGCCTTAATTTATCCTAATCGAAAACACCAGAGTTAAGCTGTAAATACCGTAGTGACCACACGGCCATTATCAAGGTTTTGCGCGAAACGAAACGATACATAATGTAAAAGAAAATGCAAGTATTTATGTCTTCAATGTCAATACAATAATTTTTACGCACCTTTTCTTAAATATTTATTTTTCTGAATTGATTAGAGGAAGCAAGTGTGTTGTAAACGGTAGTTTTGCGATGATTGGTCAAAGTGGAGTAGTTTTCATCTATCACAATATTTCGATTTCGATTATTCGAACCCATCGATTATTCGAAGTAAATATTCAGTCCCAGGCACTTCGAATAAACGGGGTTGGACTGTAGCACCAAAAGATTGTATTTTGTAAACAAACTGATTTGTCTAGTATATATGAATTATTATTTATCTTAGCTTTTCTATTCTCTTCATTGCTATATATCATCCCCTTAGTGCAGTATTGGTTTAACTCATATTGAATTTACCAGGAGATAATTCGTTACTGCACTAGGGTGAATAATTTTGTAGGTTTAATTAAATCAGTGCAGGCTATATTGTAATTTTTTATTATGAGATAGTTATCCTGTCATTTGCGATAACATTACCTCAAATCCCCAAGATGTAAACATGTCTTATTAACATAACAGTTTCTGTGGTACTGAAAACTTGACCAACAATTAAACAGAATGTCAATCTATGTTGCACTGTTTTTGATTATTTTCTTCATTTACTGAAGTTAGTCATTGTTTTCACATTAAATTATTGACAGTGAAAAATTCAATATTTGACAAGTATTTAAACAACACAAAATGTTAGATCTTCAGATCATTTTGTCCATTTTTCATTATTTATCATCATTTGTATTTGAGATGTTTAATAGTTTAAACTATCAAAGATTAATATTTTACAATAAATGAAATGAAAGATATGAGCTGCATCATGACAAAATCAACGTAATGCGTTTGCGACCAGCATGGATCCAGACCAGCCTGCGCATCCGCAGTCTGATCACAGATCAGGATCCATGCTGTTCGCTTACCATCCCTATTACAAGTAGAGAAACTGATAGCGAACAGCATGGATCCTGATCAGACTGCGCGGATGCCCAGGCTGGTCTGGATCCATGCTGGTCGCAAAACCCATTATGTTGGTTTTGTCATGACGCGGCTCAAATGAAAGATATTCTGAAATCTTAATACATTGGTATGAAAATTTTCAGGAGGATATTGTAAAGTTACAGATTCTCAACCTTGGCGCTAAGTTGATGATCACCAACAGTAAACAGACCAAGCTTCTGTGTCAGTACGTGTTTAATCTGGCTAAATACGACCAGAATTACGACATCAGGGACCGATCTAGGTTCCTCCGTGCTCTCGTTCTACCGATTGGAGAGAAAGGACAACTTGCTAAACATGCCAAGAAAATCTTCCTGTCCACTAAACCTGCACCAGTTCTAGAGTCAAAGTTTAAAGGTGAATATGTTTATTTTTAGCTTGACTTTTTGATGAATAGTGAAATATTGTACTCACCTTGGCATCGGCATCACACTTTGGTTAAATTTTTTGCGTGCAAGTTGATATCTTCAAAACTACTGAAAGGAATAGGTTGAAACTTCACACACTTGTTCTTTATCTTACATGAAGGGAACAGGTCCGTTACCATTTTGCAGAGTTATGCCACTTTTCTTTTTGTCAAACACCAAAAATTTGTCGTGCTAGGTGTCATACAGTCAGCTCTATTTGTAATAAACTTTTTGGATTCTTTAATGTAGGTAGGCTGTCTATCAGGGTGATGGGAAGGTTTGTGGTTTTACTCCGGTGCCTGCTTGTATCAGAAATAATGCACAAAGGGACACATTAGGTATTCTGTCACAATTAAAGCTCAAAAGTCACCATAACTATGACCTTACTAGTGTTAGTGTGACTTTAAACACAACAGAAAACAATAGTTTACAACTTCCTCATTGGTTTTGGAAAGTGAACAATCGTAAAAAATCATACCGGCGACCGGATTTAGGCACCCGTTAATTTGTAAATTTAAAGGGATGTTTTTTGAGATATAATTTTTTTTGCTTTTGTTAAAAAAATAAATTTTTCAACAGATCGGCCCAATTACCAGCTCGGACCCTGTCTCTTTAAAATAAACATGAAAGTCCCGGGTACCAGCATTACCGGAATGGCCGGGGGGCCCAGACCGAGTGTGAGAACTTTAAGTTGTAATCCCTGGACGGAGAAAAACCATTAACAAAGAAACAGAAACAAAAGAAAAAACCCGAAAAGTCTTTTATTTCTAGCCCCGAGCCCCTCGAGCCCTGAGGTTTTGTATATAAAAGTTTGTTTGGACAGTTAATTAAAAGGGATGCTAATTTGTGATGAAAAAATCAAATCATTAGGTTTATAAATATCATTTTTGTTTTGTTTTTTAAAAGTGAAAAAAAAAGGCTATATGTGAAAAAAAGAAATTTTCACACCAAAATACAAGGGGAAATAAAAAAAAAGATTAATGTTTGTCCGCCTTACAGGAGTAATGGCACACATATAGGGATCATTTAACTTATGATTTTTATCTTGGTCTTGGAAAAACTGAAAGCTCAGTAAATTGAAATGAACAAAACAATGTTCACAATGTTTTGGCTGTTTCGGAATACTGGAATTAAATATATATGAGCCACGCACCAAAAAACCAACAAGTCACGCGACGCAGCATGAATCCAGACCAGCTTGCGGCTCCGGCAGTCTGATCAGGATTCCTGCTGTTTCGCTATCAGTTTCCTACTTGTAATAGAGTTGGTAAGCGGAACAGCATGGTCCTGATTCAGGCGCGATGCCAGGCGTGGTCTGGATCCATGCTGGTTGCAAACGCACTATGTTGGTTTTGTCATGGCGGCTCATATTATCTTCAAATAATAAGCCTTCTTAAAAGGGAAAAACAGAATAGTTTTGTTTTAATTCTTACTCTATTATGTTATCAAGACGACAGTTCGGAACATGGATGACAGTGAATGTTGATGACGACTAGCGACGAAAGAGTCCGACAGTGATGACGAGAAGAGCGAGGACTCCGACGAGGATTCTGACTCTAGCGACGATACTGATATAGAGAAATATAAACCAAAGAAAGAGGTTAAAGTGGAGAAGAAGAAACCACCAGCACCGGTGGAGACGGAAAGTGACGGGGACACGTCGGAGGAAGACGACAGTAGTGATGATGAAGAAAGTAGTTCCGAGAGCGAAGTGGAGGTTAAAAAGAAAAAGGTGAATCAGTCATATTTATTAAAGGAGCACCTCTGATGTTCAAAAGTCTACATAAAATTTGAATTCCTTACATAGATCAGCTGGGCATTTAAAAAAGAAAGATACATGACTTTTTTTTGTATTCAAAAGATAATAAGAAAAATACTTAAAAAGATAAATTGGATATCCTGTTTTTGTGCTTTTTTTTAGCCCGGTTTGAGTGGAAAGCATTGCAATACTTTTCAATTTTGGGTCATTTTTCACAATTTGAATTATTATTTTAGAAAAATGAAGTGACCAAATGATCTGAAATTTTGCACATAAGCTATTGGTCTAGAACTACATCAAATGGAATATCGATCTCAAAAAATTAATTTCAGTCCCATCATGTCAAAAAACCACAGTTGATTCCCTTTAATTTATTGATAAGAATTGAAATGTCTTTGTCTTTACTTTTAAAGAATCCATTACATAAATTGTCTATAGAACAGTAGTGTTGATTATGGAAAATAGTTCTGAGAGTGAGAGATTCATGTTAAAAAAGAAAACAAAATGAGCTGTGTCACGACAAAACCAACATAATGTGTTTGTGACCAGCATGGATTCAGACCAGACTGCACATCCGCGCAGTCTGATCAGGATCCATGCTGTTCGCTTACCAACTCTATTACAAGTAGAGAAACTGATAGCGAACAGCATGGATCCTGATCAGACTGCGCTGATGAGCAGGCTGGTCTGGATCCATGCTGGTCGCAAACCCACTATGTTGGTTTTGTCATGACACAGCTCAAAAATTGATTATTTATAACTTTATTTTAGAATTTGTTCAGTTTTACTTTTAAAACTTTTTTTTGGTGAGTGGTTTATGTTACTGTCCTTGAATACTTTTTGTTTCATTACACGACTGACAACTTTTAGCTGCTTACAGAAATTTGGTAGAGGATTTCTGCATTTATTTTCATATGAATAAGACCATTTGTATCGTTCTACATGAATAATGTAAATAACATGCATGTCCTAATGAAACTATTAATGTTGCTATCTGAATAGGACAGTTTGTGTTGTTCCCCATGAAAAACATTTAAAAAACAAAGTGATTCTGCGTTTTGGCATATCTTAATTCTAATATTTCTTTGAGACCATTCATGGTTTGGCTTGCTCTTTGTTTATGAGTTTATCTTTCATTGTATTAATATATTAAATTTTGTAGACACCGGAGAAAAAGCCGCAATCAAAGAAAACAAACAAAGCATCACAAGATCTTGACCTACTGTTGGACTTCGGCAATGGTAATATGTTACTTCTGCTTGATATAAAATATGTACAGGCAAACCTGTAAACAAAGGCCACCAGAAGGAGGGAAACAAATAATGGTCTTTATATACAAGTGGTCTTTATTTGAAGGTTTTATCAATTAAATGAAGGGTTATCAAAAGTGACCTTTATTTGCATGGATATTTTTATTCAGAGGTGATCTTTATCCCAGGTTTTATTGTATTACTGGAAGTTTCATAGATTCATTTCATCCTTGTTATCTTGAAGTCTCTAAAGATAAACAATTATATCATGTATAGATAATGAAACAATGAAATCAGAACTTCCAAAATTTGATCCAGATCATGAAAAATCGAAAAAAATGATGTCAAGATAACATAAGACTATTGTATATAGATAGGGATATCTATTTTACCAGGTATGTATATTAACGGTATCCGCAACTAGATTTTAGACCGTGATTGGTGTCGTGTCATTTATGCGCATGCGCACATGCTACGAAAAACATTAATCGATGGCGTAAGGCAACAATTTCAGTTCATGAAAAAATATGTTTATTAAGCGCTAATTTATGGGCATCTGCACAAAATACTCAAGAAATAATGACAGGTTAGTCTTATTTCTTTGTTATGTGTGTAAATATTTACTAGATCACGCTTTCAAAGGCGTAAATCTGGTTTGAAATATTCCACTCTGGATGAATGAGATTTACAAAATGGCGGAAAGTTTGTTTGAAACGAGTGAACACGTATAAAATCTGCAGAGTCATCAGGCTTAAACCACTAGAAGAAAACTGACTAAACTTGCACAAATCAGTTTAAAATAAATTAAAGTATGTCGTGAAGGTACTTTTGACACTCCCTTATCATCTGTTCTATTGTTTTTGTGGCGTGGAATTTGAAGGAAAATGGTAAATTTTTGTGGTGCAAAATTAAATTCACGACCTATTTTAGCCGAAGCATTAGAGGTATTTTAAGACCTTTAAAATATAAATTAAAGCTGAAAAGTTAGTCACTACATCATAGTAAATGGTTTATGATATTATTTATAATTTTCAGCCGAGTAATTTTGATGCTATGTCTTTTTGAAAATGGATGAATTTTCCCCCATTTTTTTTCATTTACTCAGAAGTTAAATTCAACTTCTTTTTTGTTAGTTATATCAGGTACGTATATTAACAAGTTTAAGTTTAAATTGACGCTCCGGAAAAAAATCAACAAATTATTTATTAATTCAAGTGAAAAAATACTTTTCGTCATAAATTATATATTTTTGGAAAGCGCAGAAGAATACAAGTCTGAAGATGTAAATATCGATGTTATCGAGCGGATTTTTACAGAAAATTCAGAAGTCAGAAAATTGAACAAAGAACGAATATGAATTCTTCTTTGTACGTGCGTTCAACATGATTCGGTTAACCAGAAAATCACAACGGGTCAAAGGTTGACAGATTTTGATGTAGAAGCGGCGGATTCTTATTTATATGGTAATTTGATCACAAATAAACAATTAACTTTGAGCAGAAAAATCACTGTAGAAGAAAATGCAGAAAAAGTTTTATTTGCTAATTATCAGTTTACAAGCGAAAGCATCTCTTATTATCATCAAATTTTATATCATTATATTCATACAAGGCGAACTTTTACTTCGGTCAATTTAGCAGCTACGGTGAAGATTCTTTTAGCGCTGGCAGGTGATATCGCGCTAAATCCAGGACCTATCCACAACCCGTGCACATCATGCAAAACGGGCAATTGCACGGACACATCGATCAGTTACGTGCGACAAATGTGCGTCTAGATGGGCACATTAAGTGTGCTAGGGTGGAACCGACATTATATTCAACATTACAACGTTCCTCAATTAATTGGTCGTGTTTTCATTGTGAGGGTTTCTGCTTTTCGGACTCGTTCTTCGAAGACGAATTTGTTCAGGATGAAAACACAGCACAGACAGTTATTAACGAAACATCACAGACGGCGCCCGAGGATAAATGTATTCAAGTGCTTCAGTAACAAAGGTCTACATTTTATTCATTTAAAACGTAAGATCCATAATTCCGAAAATGTCCGAACTGAAAACAATAGCTAATAACTGCAATGCAGCAATTTTTTCGATATCAGAAACTTGGTTGGACTCTAGTGTGTATGATGGTGAAATTGACATTCAAAATTATACTGTACTAAGAAATGATCGCAAATAGAAATGGAGGTGGGTATGTATGTACATTAGAAATGATATTTCTTTTAATGTAAGATATGATTTGTCAAACAACACAAATGAATGTATATTTGTTGAGATACTTTTGCCCCGGAATAAACCTATTATTGTTGGAACATTATATAGACCCCCTAAACAAACCGATTTCAATAAGTTTCTAGAATCAATTTTATCTAAACTTTCTTTCGAAAATGAAATATATATACTTGGAGATATGAATATATGCTTTTTTGATAACAAATCTGTTATATTCAGAGAATACTGCAGCATTTTGAGTTTATACAATCTTCAGCAAATTATAAAATCAGCGACACGAATTAGTTCTACGGGTTCTAGTCTTATAGATCACATTCTTTGCAATTATAAAGAACGAGTGTCTCAGTCTGGGGTTATCCCTCTTGGGTTAAGTGACCATTTTATGACTTTTTGTACAAGAAAGATTGTTAAGAATCCAGTTAATTGTCATAGATATGTTAATATACGATCGCTTAAAAAAATTACTCTAAAGAAAATTGGATCGCGGAGTTGACTCAAACAGACTGGAGTTCTTGCTTTTATTCTTTAAATGTTATAACGCATGGAATAATTTTCAGAAAAATTTCACTGATTTATTAGATAAGATTGCTCCATTTAAGGAAATTAGACTTAAAAATCAAACTGAACCTTGGATAGATTCAAATATTCTAGATCTGATACATAGGCGAGAGAAAGCATATGCAAGGTATAGAAAAGTCGTAATAATTCTGACAAGATTTTGTTCAATAAACTTCGCAATGAAGTACAACGATCTATAAAATTGGCAAAAATCTGAATACTTCAAAGGGCAAATATTTGATAATAATAACGACAATAAGAAACTATGGCAGAATATCAAATCCCTTGGGTACAGTAACAATAAAAAAGAAAGTCCGAATATTGTTTTGTCGATTGATGGTGAAACTTATCACGATCCTTGTAGAGTTGCAAGTCATTTTAATAACTTCTTTACAAATATTGCATCTAATTTAGTACAGAAACTCCCGGCAGCAAAGAACTTTTATAGTGTGGCATCCGATACAATTAAGAATTTTTATAGGAACATATCACAAAAAAGAGTTTTCACCTTCATCATGTAAGTGAGGAGTTTGTATATAAAGAATTATGTAGTCTTAATATAAGCAAAAGCACTGGATTAGATGGTATCCCTGCAAAATTTCTTAAAGATGGTGCTGATGTGTTTAAAAATCCCTATAACTTATATTGTGAATTCTTCAATAACAGAGGGGGTTGTCCCAGATGATATGAAAATTGCTAAAGTAAAACCTCTACACAAAAAGAATAGTAAGCTAGATGTCGGGAATTACAGACCAGTTAGTATTTTATGTATTGTATCCAAGATTCTAGAACGGGCCGTGTATGTACAATTTGAGTCATTTTTAAGAACTAATAATCTAATTTACGAACACCAGTCGGGTTTCGGAAAATCTCATTCAACTGACACATGTCTTATTTACCTACTTGACTATATCCGTACAAATAGCTCCAAAGGTTACTCACTGGTATGGTTATGATGGACTTACAAAAAGCTTTTGATACCGTCAATCATGATATTTTGTGTGATAAATTAGATATATTAGGTGTCAAATCTATTTCTTGGTTTAAATCATACTTGTCAGGTAGGTATCAGAAAGTAAGTATTGGTAAAGTTTTTTTCTGACTCAATTCCTATTACGTGTGGGGTCCCTCAGGGCAGTATTTTGGGTCCTCTTCTATTTCTCTGCTACGTTAATGACATGGTAACAAGTATCGATTCTGATTGCAAGTTAATTTTATATGCAGATGATAGCACAATATTATTTTCGCATAAGGATCCAAAAATTATAGCCCAAAAACTTGGAAAGGTATTGGAACGATGCTCAGATTGGTTAGTTGATAATAAATTATCTCTACACCTGGGCAAGACTGAATGTATGCTATTTGGTTCTAAATCGAAAATTAATAAATTACAAAATTTTTCCATTTCATGTAATGATCAAACAATAAAGTCTTCGTCTGAAGTTAAATATCTTGGTTTGAATATCGATTGTTACCTATCAGGAGATAAAATTGTCAAGAGCATTCTTTCAAAGGTGAATGGAAGATTACATTTTCTATACCGTTACAAAAATTGTTTATCGGAAGAAATAAAGAAACAGTTATGTCCTGCCCTTTTGCTGTGTCACTTTGATTATTCTTCATCTTCTTGGTACGAAGGACTGAGTAAGTCACTGAAGCGCAAACTTCAAGTAGCTCAAAATAAGGTTGTGCGCTTTATAAAAAGACTACACTCCTAGGACTTCAGTGACAAAATAAGGTTCTGTCCGATCTTAAATTTATTAAATGTCAATGATAGAGTTAGACAGTTAAGACTCAACCACATTCATAAAGTTTATTACAACAAAAGCCCTTCTTATTTAAAGGAATTGTTTAAGGTTTGTAGAATATCCAATTTAAGATCCAGTAATTTTAATTTTGTTTTACCTCAAAATGATTCTTATGTTAAAAATACATTTTTCTACAATGCCATTAAAGACTGGAATTCTTTACCAGACAACATTAGATCAATTGACAATATCCAAACATTTTAAAACGAAAGTAAAACTTTTTTTAAGTAATGAAAATGATAAACAAGTGAATAATATGTTTATTTATTATTAAATTGATGTGTAACTTATGATAAGGTTTTGAAAATGTGTATGTGTACTTGATATGTTTTAGTTTAAAAGAAATTTATTTCATTTTGTTTGTGTACAATGTACTTGTCTTATTATATTGAAAAATGTGTTTTGATTATTGAAAATTGTCATTAAGTTTAACTTCTTTATAACTCATTTATTATTATGTAAGTCAGTGTAATAATTTTACAGAAAATGGACCCCATTGGAAATAAGCTTTTAGCTTAATGGGCAATCCTAGGGTTACATAGAACATACTTATTAATTAATCTTATAGTTATTTTTGTGCATTTATATGTGTGTTTTTATATATATGCAAGTTGATATCTGTGATAAAATTGTATGTGTATACATGTATGTCTATTCCCTGAATAAATCGATACGAACATACGTACCTGGTTATTCTGTGTTGATAAAACAAAATAAATATTTATATAAAATGTCATTAAATTAATTTCATCTATTTCAGATCGTAACAAATGTGTTTCAAGTGGTAGATCTACATCAGCACGGCAATTTCACTGAATGCTGATACAGCCCAAAAGTTCAAAGATTTGCTGCTTGTGCCAGGAGGGTCCCCAGAAGTGTCAAAAAAATTTCGGGAATACAGTGACACTAAATGAAAACACTATAAACAATCATTTTATAGCCAGTGCGATGATATTGAAGTTTTATTTAAATCAAGTTATAAAATAAAAGACAAAACTTATGTGTTTTCATTTTTATTTTTTTTTTTTTACTACCAGGTACCTGATACTACCATTTCCAATACCTTTATGTCTATTCTCTCTAATACATGTACGTTCATTCAAGAGAACCTGAAAAAATACTGATATATGTAGTGGTGAAACAGTTTACTCAATATAATTGTATAAAAAGCAACACAAAGAATATGTTTTAAATAAAAACAACTGGATATAGTAATTACAATCTAGCCTTACCCACTAAAAAGCAGTTTCAAACAGGACCGACTGATAGAAAAAGTGTGAAAACTATCATAATTGAACAATTAAATAGATGCACATTAATAAACCTGATTAAATCTATTACTGAATCTGCAGCAAACCTCAATTATGACGGTACAATGTACTTATTTTTCACAATACTTTCATTACAAAAAATGTTTAGGCCATTTTTCAGAAACGAACATTTTTATAAGAGGTCTTTTCTGGTGCAGTTTGTAAATTATATAATCATACTTTCATTCAATTTCAAAAATAACTTCATTCTTTAAAACAATGTTCAAATAAAATTGAACGTTCGAAATATGCAAGATGATTTTGGCCATGTGATTATACCGCGATTGGGCGTAATTAATTCGTCACGATATTTTATCCGCATTTATTTTAAATACGCAAAAGAAATTGAAAAATAAAAAATTTAAAACTACAGTTTATAAGCTTTTTATAAATATTATTTCACAAATTTCTGCCAAAAATGACGAAACAATAATAACTTGTTACTACATGTATATAAAATTTCTTTCGTGTGCTGTAACTGCTGATGCAATTTGGCTGGTAGTAAAAGTTGCGTTTTTTACTTGTTACAATTCCGGAAATAATTTAGCTTTGTAAATGATAATTACACGGTTAAAAAGATCAAATTCTCAGCTTTCTTTTGATAGGTATTTTGCGAAATTTGGACCATAAATGACGAAAAAATCTTATATTTCTTCGAAGAGGGGATCATTATTTTTACTGAAGTTTTGACATAATCGGGAGACAAAAAAAACTCTGTGTTTAACTCGTCGTAATTTTCTTCATACTAAACGCACTGATTTATAAAATATATATTTGAAAAAATCTATCTTTCAGCTTTCTAGAATATGTTACTTTTAAAAAATTGAATAGAAAATAACATGTTGACGGTAATTTAAATAACCAAGGTCAAATATCATATCGCTTAACACCGCTCGTAATGATCGGCAGTCTGGATGGATTATCTGCCACGACAGCATAATTTACCGTTATTGATTTACTGTATAGAGTTGCGGATACCGTTAATATACGTACCTGATTTTACATATAATTTTCTTACACATATTGTTGTTTTGAGATCTTGTTGAAATAATGTGTTGTATAGAGTCGGACTAGTCTGCTGTCTTATGATGGCTGGGAGCTAGATGTCTCTGGTGGTTAAAATGTTAGGGTAATGTAGGCTCACTCTGTGATTTTCCATTTTAGTTATATGCTAATTTTTTAGCTCACCAGAACCAAAGGTTCAGGGTGAGCTATTTGCATCAAATGAACTTGCGGAAAGAGCTGGACTTGCCTTTCAGCAAGTTCATTGGAAAAATAATTTCCAACACTGAGAAACAGTTGTTTCTGGTGAGCGACTCGGGGTCATCATGGCCCTCTTGTTTTATATATTTGGCTACAGAAGTTATAATTTGGCTACAGGATTTCTTGGCAATATTATGTTTTTTTATTGAATATAGTTTCATTGTGTATGAGTTACATATTTTGTCATGATTGTTTATGTTTTAGATGCACCATCAGGAGGTGCTGCAGGGGGAACAGCAGCTGGAGGCCCCACCATGGGGGCCGGAGATTTACTAACACCCCTTAGTGCCCTTGACATTGATAATACAACACCTACCAGCAATACTTCAGCATCATCTAGTCAAATGGTAAGTATGATATTCTACTAATATCTAAAGACAATTTACTACAACAATTTGTGGTGACTATACATGCCATAATTTTTAGACTCATTTCCGGGACACATTTCATTTGGAGGTGGGGCATTGATCAGCAAACGTATTTCTTGTAAGATTTACATATTTTTATTGAGCTTGTTAATAAAATAATATTAAACTTACACTTATTCAATAAATTCAGTATTAAACTTACACTCATTCAATAAATTCAGTATTAAACTTACACTCATTCAATATCCTCTATATATTTTCAGTTTGCCCCTATACAAGTTGAGAGTAAGCCACGTGAGCTACTGAACAAGATGGCCGGAGATGGTCTCAGTGTCACATATAAATTTACAAGAACTATATCAATATTTTCTCCTAAAATGGTCTCTATAGAACTGTCCTTTACCAACAATAGTGACAAAACTTTGTCCGGGATTAAAGTAGGACAAAAAGTATGTATACATGTTAAGTGTTCTTTTATTATCATTGCATTTATAAATCAAATAATGAAGCCATTTGATTTGGTTTTGCCAGACTTTTCATAATACAAAGTAAAAAAGGAGGAGGGATTTTTTTCTAGAGAGAAGGAATTTTTTTCTGGAGTGGGAGCCTGGGAGGAGGGATTTTTTTCTGGAGTGGGAGCCTGGGAGGAGGGATGAGAGAGACCTTTAATTGGGAGAAATTTTGTAATTCTGAGTTGGATATTAAAACATTCTATGCATACATAGTAATTGTTCATGTTTTTTAAATTGGCTTGCCTAAAGTGGAGCTCTATGGATTCAACTTTAACACCTACTGGTTAAATAATAAAAATCTATATTTTATGACCTTTACCTTGTTAAGTTTGTCATTGAGGTTTTGTTTTGTTATATTGTTATGTTTTAATTAAGAAAAAATATATCCCAAACAGTGATTTTATCGCTTGGTAATATCACTGTTTGGAGATTGGATGCGAGGAATTACATATGAAATAATGATGAGCATTTGAATGACAAACACTGACTTTGTCAGGCAATAAAATCACCAATTTGGATATATTATTTTGATTTTAACATGACATCAACAAATAACTGCTGCCATACCTGATATTAAGCTAAATTGGGCCTGATTTGTTTCTGTACTTATTTTTAGCGTGTCGCATTTTTAGTGGTCAGTTCACATATATAATGATTATGTCACATGTCTAAATACAGAACATTAACAGTGATTTTATTGCATAACAACACACACTTTCAGTTCTTCTATATTCAGTAGGGAAAAATGCGGTTGTGTTAGAATACTGTATATTATTAGGCTTTTTACTATTGTAAGGTTTATAAAAATGAACTTTTTATTGTGTTTTGTTACAGAAAATTCAGACTGGTATGGAAATACAAGACTTCCCAGAAATTGGTAAGTTGTATGAGATAATATTGAACATATGATAATGAATTTCGGCTTCAAGATAATACATTTAGTAACAGAGACATCATTTGTTACAACTCTATCAACTATCTTCCTTAGGTTTATGGAAACAACATAAGTTTGCCATTTCTAAAATATTTATAAAAACGTTTCATAATATATAACTTTATACCCTTCTGTTTATACAGAATTTATTTCAATTCGATTGTGTAGGAAGCTATAAGCTTATAGACACACTTTCGAATCCTTTAATGTGGTTTATGAATTTCAAGTAGAATATATTTATATTACTGTGTTTTTTAATTCATCAACATTGTCAATAACGTTCATATGTTCTTGTATTTTAAATCTAGCTGTATTGGCACCGAAGAATTCCACCACAGTTTTAATGGCAATAAACTTTAATGATACCACACAACCAGCCGGGTTTGAAATCTGTACAGAAGAGAGGAAACACAACGTCACTATATCAGCTCCTGTAGGTGAAATATTACAACCTTATAACATACACGAGAAGGAATTCGTTAAAGAACAGGGTAAGAATTGTCTACATACCTTAGGAACTACTTTTTTTACCACGTCTCTACATTTTAGCAATGAATTATCTTGCTAGTTCCCAAATACAAAGTAGAATACATGTATGAATCTGCACAATTTATGGAAAGAATTGTGTACATATCTTTTGGAACTACTTTTTTTGCAGATCTCTACATTTTAGCCATGAATTGTCTTGCTAGTTCTCATGTACAAGGTTTAATACATTTATAAACTTGTAAAATGATCTTTAAGTATATTGAACCAATTCATAATTATCATTTACATTGTCATTATCATTATCATTTTTATTAATTCCATTATCTACATCATCATGATTTTAAGATTCATCATAATTATTGTCATCATTTTAAATCATCATCATCATCATCATCATCATCATCATCATCAAATGAATCATGATCATTACTGTCATTTTAAAATTAATCATTATATTAATCAATTTATCTTCCATCATCATTATCATCATCATTATGATTATAATCCTCATCTGCAATTAATTGTAATTACAATCATCATCATTTTAAGCTATATCACATTGATCGCTATTTTCTTCACTTTCATCATCATCATCATTATCATCACTATCATTGTTATGAAAATCATCATCATCATTATTATATACATCAATCATTATCATACTATTATATTTTACAAGTAGATTATCTGGTATAAATGAGAATATATTTTGATATTTTACAGTGAAATTGTCAGGCATGAATGAGAATATATTTTGATATTTTACAGGGAAATTGTCAGGCATGAATGAGAATATATTTTGATATTTTACAGAGAAATTGTCAGTCATGAATGAGAATATATTTTGATATTTTACAGGGAAATTGTCGGGCATGAATGAGAATATATTTTGATATTTTACAGGGAAATTGTCGGGCAATATATTTTGATATTTTACAGGGAAATTGTCACGGATGAATGAGAATATATTTTGATATTTTACAGGGAAATTGTCAGGCATGAATGAGAATATATTTTGATATTTTACAGGGAAATTGTCGGGCAATATATTTTGATATTTTACAGGGAAATTGTCACGGATGAATGAGAATATATTTTGATATTTTACAGGGAAATTGTCACGGATGAATGAGAATATATTTTGATATTTTACAGGGAAATTGTCAGGCATGAATGAGAATATATTTTGATATTTTACAGGGAAATTGTCGGGCATGAATGAGAATATATTTTGATATTTTACAGGGAAATTGTCACGGATGAATGAGAATATATTTTGATATTTTACAGGGAAATTGTCAGGCATGAATGAGAATATATTTTGATATTTTACAGGGAAATTGTCAGACATGAATGAGAATATATTTTGATATTTTACAGGGAAGTTGTCAGGCATGAATGAGAATACATTTTAATATTTTACAGGGAAATTGTCAGGCATGAATGAGAATATATTTTGATATTTTACAGGGAAATTGTCAGGCATGAATGAGAATACAGCAAATTTAAAGATGAACGAGGATAAGACAGATATGAAATCTGTTGTTACTGCTGTATATAGAGTAGCAAATGTTGTACAGGTAGGCCCTCTGTCTTATACTAGAATACTTTCATGATTTTTATCATCAAATACACTGTGAACCTCCTCCGTGGTCAAGGGATTAGAGTTGATGACTTCTAATCCAGTTACCTCTCTGGCGTGGGTTTGATCCCCGGGAGATGCTTTGGTAGTTTAGCCTGGAGGAAGGTAGTCTAGTACAGGTGTAACTCTCCAGGAACGATGGTTAGGAAACTACCCACCTATATGACTGAAATACTTTTGAGAAATCAAACAAACAAACAACACTGATGGTGTTTTTGTTGACTGAGTGCTTTATATGCTTACGGTTGCTGGTCCGTCTGCTTATCTCAATAGAAAGAGAGCATTAGATTAGTTATTCAAGGTATGTTTGTCTGATCCTTTGGTATGACAAAATTTCTCCATGTCAGCTGGCCTAAGGCATTGCGTCTAAAAGGGTTACTTGGGCAAATTTCTGTATGAATTCTATATATTTTGGGTTTGAAGCGTAAATATAACTATATTTTGAACAAAATTTAGATGCGGTCATAATCATGGACATAATTTCCCTATTTTCCACTTTGTGACATAATTCATAATTTCACCTCTATGAGACCAGCCATCATTCTCCCCCTCCCCCCCCCCAAAAAAAATAAAAAAATAAAGAAAATAATATAAAAACAGCACTAGTGATAATCATGCCACATTAAAAGCCTTGTGTTCATTAGAGAGCTTGTAGGAACAACAATAAATATATCTGTCTCTCCTTTAAGTTCTTTTATTATTATCATTTCTTGCTCATTATTTTGAATCTGTGTCATTTAACTGTGTAAAAGACCTGTTTCAAAACTTTAAAAAAGTGCTTGTGTCAAATTGTTGTCAATCATAATGTTATTTTTTAAGGTAGAAAATGTTGTCCTTTATCTATACAGGTACCTAGCACAGAAGATGGTACGTACAGATTTGCTTCACAAACTATGGCTTCCAACATTCCAGCTTTAATTACAGTCAGTGTTACAGATACGGGGACGGGCAAACTAACGGTAAACTGCGAGAAAATGGTGATAGGAACAATGTTAATGAAGGACGTGAAAAGTTCACTAGAAAGTTGATTAAATAAAGATTTTATATAAGCAGATGATGTTTATGGATATTTGACTTGATTGAGTGAAAATCATTGGCACATAAATCTTAAATTTTACATATAATTTTAATGTTTAGTCATGGTCATAAATATCATCTACATGTAATTACTGCTTTTTACATGCAATGTCATAAAAGTTATTGACATGAATATAAGTAAACATGTGTAATGTTAATAATGTCATTTACATGTTATTTACATGAATACTGTTTACATATAATGTCATAAAAGTCACTGACATGAATATAAGATGTTATTAGTTATTTACATTAATTCTTTATTACATGTAATGTCATAAATGAACATGAACATAAATACTATTTAAATGTTATGTCATAAAAGTCATTTACTTGAATACAATTTACATGTAATCTTTTAAAATCATTGGCGAGAAACTCTTAATTTGGTAAAATCAAGCAGAACAGAAGTTCACACTGCCCTTTGATTGTTTAGCTATTTTCATGGATAAGCTGTATAGTTTGGTATTTAGAATTATGGAAACAAGAATAAGTGATTGTATGTCATCAAAAAATATAAATTAATTGATGAACAATATTTTAAATAATTTTGATTGAAATGCTTGTATCTTTCTTTCCTTTTTGTTATCTTTTGTCCGATTTAATGTTGTTGTTACACAGTCTATTTTCATTTTGTCATCTTCTGTCCCATTTGTGTTGACACCTTGTGAATTCTTGTTATTATATAATGTCTGCTTGTATTGTTTTAAACATATTTTTTTGCCAAAAAAAGCCCCCAGCAAATACATATAATGACTAATAACATACTTTTCATCTTATCATGCAAGGAACCAAAAGTGTTAAGTTTTTGCCCCCCCCCCCTTTCCCCCCATAGAGGGGCCAACAAGTTTGTACATCCATAATCGACCGGGCCTTTTTAAACTGTTGGCTAATTAAAATTTTTTAAAATTTTGATGAAATTTATTTCATAATTTTTGCATTGATGGGATCATTTAAACATATTCATCTATTCTAGAACAATGTGCTATAATAATATTGGTGTCTTATTGTGCAATATCATATGTATGTTTTACATGTTTTAAGTTTACCTCCCTTTGTAAGTACAGGTGGGGAGCTCATTATTTTAATGTTGTTAACGGTTGATGATTAGTCAGTCAGTTTGAGAACAAGTTGATTTTTGATGGTAGACAACACCTGGCCTCCAGGTTCTTATGTGATGATTTCTGACCAGTCTTATATACCTGAGATTAACCTTAGATTTCAAGTATTTGATTGGCCAGAAACTGTCACAAGATGTACAGTAACCAATGAAAATCCTGAGATTTGAGACAAACCTCAAAAAAAAAAGTTTTATAACCTCCAGGCCTGATCTCTTTTAACATTCTCATTCCAAATTTCAAGATTACATTGACTACATTGCCCTTTGATGACTTTGTCATTGGCTGGTTTATAAGAGTATGGCTCAAATATGTCAGGATATATCTATATAGATGAAGCTATTATACAATTTCTATATTAGGCAATTATCATATGATGATTTGGCCTGGCTGAACATCACATAAGCAAGGTTTCATAGACTTACTAATGGGCAGTTAAATTTATCGGCACTTCAAATGATGTTATGATATAGTTTGTTGTTAACATATACACCAGATGAATTTCCCATTCTATTGGCTGTCAATCCTTGGAAGTCATATAAGTATCTGTTAATATATTTAGTCCCTGACCCTTATGTGAAACATTAAAAGTAAGGCTTAACTACTACTAATCTTCTAGTATTACCCTGTTGTTGACTTACACCTATTATCATGGAAATGAAATGAGTATTGATTGAAATTTAATATATCATTATTATTGATTGAAATTAAATAAATGTTTAAAATAAACTGTGTTTTGTTACGGTACTTCAACTCATCTGATCAAGCTCTATGTGCTTTTATAAGTGGATAGAGATATAATCGATGTTCTCCAATAATTATTATAATACCTGAGTGCTCAAAGTACTAGTATAATGCCAAGAGGTTAGGTATTTGGTATTTTCATTACAAAAGTAATACAAATCATACCCCTGGGGTGGCTCCTGGGTCACTTAGTTAATAAAGACGATAATAGGAAATATGTTTATGTCTTCATATGTGAAAGTACAGGACATTTGGCAAGAAGTATTGCCTTGAGGACCTTTACAAAATTTATATAAATGTTAGGCACACGGGGTCATAATGCCCCCGCCCTGGGTGGGTCACTTAGTTTACATCGACTTGTATCTGTCAATCTATTTACCCCCAAGACTACCCCAACACGCTTAAACTGACATGTTAATATGAACTTAATTTTACATTGTTTACGGGAGGTAACTATGCGAACATTGAATTATCTCCCTTCTGAAGAAAGGAATATCACACGTACGTGCCAACAAGTAATCAACATAATGGCAATGATTATAACTGAATGGAATGATAAATAAAAAACTGTATTTATTTTCTATATCAAGTAAAAATATCAGGTCTCAATAAATACGTTAAAGGAAATAATCTATATCCGAAATACCAAAGGGGCCCGACACACATGGGTGTGTTCATATATAGAGTAATTAACTAACACAAGCAATTTGAGAAAAAATATAGCGACAAATATTTTATATAGTCTCTATTGAAAATTTAATTAAAAGTCCCTGATAGCAGTATAGTATACAAGAAACCCCAAAAACTACATCTTATTTATTAATTCCAGGTGTCACACTACTGCAGGGAGTTAATTCCAATAATGACGTCGGTTTTTACCTAGTTACTACCCTTAGATTATCTCTGACAGGGTCGCATGTTAATAAAGCTTTCCAATTTAGAAGCTAATTTCCATTATTAAGTTTCTTGAGATGTCTTGGGGTAATTAGACCGACCCGACTTGTATAGGAACAAAATTAATCTGTAATATTCTTATGTAAACATGAAGACAACAACGACAGCAGACTACTTTGATTATTAACCTATTTTAAGAGGAAAAATAAACAATCACAAAAGCTGGTATGTCCAACAACATTGACCTGGCACTTTTGAATTTGACCCTGTAGCCGGTATATTCCGTAAACGTTACGATGTATACTTGTAACTCGATATGAATGTAAATATACAATTGTTAAAATGGTATAAATTAAAAGTCCCTCTTAGCGCAGTTGGTAAAAAGAATGTAGACGTAAACTGGTAGGTTCAACGATTTTCTTTTTTCTTTCTAAATGCCATTCTTTTTAAACTATCGCAAACCTTTGTTGTGTGTTCTATCTGTAAATATTTAATAACTGTCTTATCGCGTGTATGCGCTAAAGCATAAACGATTGCATAATGTCACAGAGAACAGTAAAAAAATACGGTAATGAAAGAAAAAAAAATGTATTAAAACACCACTTAAAAGATATTTTATAACCAGGTGGTAAAACGATTTAGAATTAATACTTGCAAGTAAATTAAAGAAAAATCATAACGTGGTGTTGGTAGGGAATCGAACCAGAGACCTTCAGATCGGCAGTCCGACATCTTGACCAATACACCACACCTCACTGACGAGTGAAGTAAGCAAATAAATAGATATATTTGATAGATGCTGGTCAGTGTTTATTCAAATGACCTTTACGAAAGATAATGAAGTGCCAGGTCAATATTGTTGGACTATAATGAAGTTAATATTCAATGGGCATACGACGGATTTTGTGAATTAAATGAAAATGATGAGTTATTTTAAATTTTTAGACTTAAGTCAATATAAAAGGATCAAAGCCTGCCGAAACGTTTTTCCTTCAATTTTCCAAAAGTTTTATAAATGCACTTTGGCCCTTATGGCACTAGACCGTCGAAGGTCAACTTTCGCCCTTATGGCACTACACCGTCGAAGGTCAACTTCCGTCCTTATGGCACTACACCGTCGAAGGTCAATATGCACGAAGAAAACTCAACGGCCGTTGTGGGGTAGTGATAAGCATACTGTTAAAAGAAATATGTAATAACTGAAATAATATTTGAAATTCATTTTGATATCATTACATACAATTTACATACATTACATCAATTAATTCATAAATCAGACCCAATCTCGCTCTCTCTCTCTCAAAAAAAATCAAACTAAGTGAAAAAAAATGTAAGCAGCGAGCTATTTTTCTGGTGACATTTTATATAATTTTAATTAAAGTAAGGTATTAAGGTAATTAGCATGTTCTTATGCACTTGTAACTCAATACTTTCAGACATAAATGTAAATCCAGCTTTAAATGATCTGAAAAAGATAAATAAAACAAGGGTGGTAATTGGTGGCTTGCACCAATTACTTCAATTATAACTTTTTTTTCCATTTCGCCATATAGTCAGGATATATCTATGTGTTTAAAACGTCTCGAAAATGATTTTTTTAAAAGTGGGAATATTTTATATGAATTTTATATGGGTATTATACTATAGTTATAATGATGGTAAGACTTTTTAATTCTATATTGTTTTAAGTGTTTGCATACCATAAACTCATGATCACACAGCAGTAAAAAAAAACAAGTATGCGGCAGGTGTCCGCTTGGCATAATACAAATGTACTGCGTTGTCGACGTCCTGTGTTACACTAGTACCGCGTTAACGTATCGTACTGGCATGGCTCGCACTAAGTCTTTTTATTTAAAACATATAAAAACGAAGTTGACCGTAGAAGGTCTAGTCACATTTAGACATGTGTGACATAATCATTATATAGAACTTGTTATAAAGAACAGGAAATTAAAAATTGAATGCATCACAGGTCAGCGCAAGACAGATTTACTTCAACTTTCTGAAAATAAATCCAGCCAATCTCTCGTGAGGCTTTTCTCACCCCCTCTCCTTTTTTACCCGCCTACTCCCCTTTTCACCCTTATCTCTTTAATTTCCATATGGGCCGGTTTTAGGTAATAGATATACCATTGCTGCGTTGACGATTTCTGGGTTTGCGTAAATTATACCATAATCACGTGACCTTTCTTTTGCCTTAACCTCACGAGACGAAGTCGAGTGAGGTTGCATAAGAAAGGTCACGTGATTATGGTATAATTTACGCAAACCCAGAAATCGTCAACGCACCAATGGTGTATCTGTTTTAACCTATAGCTCCGCCCAGAAACACTTACTCCTTCGATCTTCAAAACTGAAACTTATACCATAGTCTGGGTATGGTATAATTTACGGTTATTGGAAATTATACTTGGAAGAATTTTACATAAGAAGCGCTGAAGAGCTATAGGTTAATTTTTATTATTTCACACATTACGTGTCCTTCTCCTTTCGCTGTCCTTATGTCCACTCCCGGTTTTGGTTTGGTGCATTCTAGGTGCGCTGCTTAGGCGTGTCGGGGGACTGCGTCCTGTGAACGTTGCCTTTGCCTTGTTGATCTTCATTCTTGTTTTTTTTTGTTAAACACTGGCATTTTTTTACGGAGTCGAGCGACCCAAAAGTTCTACGTCCCGGTTTGACCAAGCCTTTACTTAATACAATTTGTTTTCGTGAGGCGAATGGCTTAGTTACTGTTGTCACATATAAATATTCATATAGCGTACTCATTGAACAAGAACAGTTTTCAAGTAAGGTGTGATGTTAAACTGTTGCATTTTTATTACACAGAAAGTAACTAGAGATTTCATGGGTTGACAGTTATTTCATGAAAAAACATGATTTGAAAACCTTGATATATATATCAATTCCTGATCAAGTTCTCATTAAATATGAATAAGACAATGTATTTCGGAATTATTTTTTTTAGCTTTTATTACATGTTAGCCATCAATTTGATCCTTAATTGATTCTTTTCAGGTCCATTTCTCGGAAAAAAGTTGACATGACTCTCTCGTCGGCGTCTAACCTTGTCGTTTTTAATTGATCCTTTTTAATTAATTGAAGGAACTATTCTCATTGAAATGATTATATTTTTAAGATCAGTAATCTTCAATTTGATCACAATAAACTGGATTATGTCTGTAAAGCATTTTCAATGTGTCACAGATGTCTCAAAAAGCGTATTGCAAAATAAAAAAAAATATGTTATTGTTTAATATCTTTTTAGCTTAAAATGTTAAAGTAAAAAGTTCAAACATTAAAAAAGAAATTTTCAGTGGATAAAAATGCATTCTTTCCTTTCGAACAGACGAAAATACATTTGACCTTATAAACAGCGCTTACATTTCTACTGATAACGACCAGCATAACAGAACGATACAAAAGATAAGTTTGAAGTGCGCCATCATCAGTATAAAACACCATCAGTATAAAAACCAATGTATTATTACAAAAATTGTATGTAGAATGTCAGGAGTAGCAAACGAACAAAGATCCATGTCCAAAGGTGTTGAAGTCTGTCCCCTGCAAGATATTCGGGTAACGAGGCAAGTTACAAATATCGTTACTTATAAAGTTCTCTTTAGTTTGAATAGACAGATGTGCTTAAACAAACACACAATCCATTCTAAGATATTGTATCTATTGTGCAGCCTGGTATCTTGAATAAAAATTGTCTCTTATCAAATGTTTTGTACCATTACATTTAAGATACCGGTATGATGTGATGACCACATTTAGTTTTGCTTTAGGTTGATGTGCTCGACATTCAAAATACATATTGATTATGGAGTACCAACATCATCTCACCATGCTTCTGTCCTTTACAAGCAAATCTATTGCACTCCTTTCCAAACGTTTTGATCATCTTGCATTAATAGGGGCAATTTAGTCATTTTGAGACGGTGTCTAACAACCTAAATGCGCCATTTTATGCTACATTAAATAAAATATTGTATTTGTGCGATTTTCTAGCTTCTTAAATCACACACATGTCTTTTAAATCCTTTAAATTATTTAGATAATCCATTTTTATCAAATGTATTTAATCATTATCTTATCATACACAAAGCGTTCTCAAACGAAGAGATACAGCTGCTTTTAGGCTTAAATCATTTATTATTTCTTATGTCAGAATATTGTACCATGAAGTGACTTAAAATACTTTCTATGCTCTTTTGCTTTTTATCCATAGAGTAATATGCTTGTTTTGTAGTTCACTTTGCATAACATGACACTTTGTTTAACATTTCATAATAAATATTTATTTTAAACTGGACTGATTTGACAAAGAAAACATTTATATAGAGGATCTTAAGTAAAATATTCTTTATTAAATAGGTAAGTATTGTAGTTAAAGGACAGGGGTGTCAAAATCACATGTTTCTATATAACTAGAGTATTTCAACTTTTAATTGAACTTATTTAACCTTCTCCATAATGCGATCAAATCTCAGTAGTTGGAGACTTTAGCAAGACTCCGTCTTTTCAAGACGTTGAACTGTGTGGCCCAATATATATATTTTAACTACATTTCAACCTTGCTCTAAAAGTAATAATAAAAGTTTAAGTCAGTTTCAGAAGCATAACGGTGTCATAGAAACTAAAACGTACATTAAATGTAGGTCGATAGAGATATATTACCAACAATGTAGTTGATATACTGTTGTTGATATGAATAAATTAAAATTAATATTATAATTATTCTTAAATTGCTATCAAAAGAGTTACATAATAGATAAATCTTTAAACACTTGGACGAAAATTATTATAGCTTCTTAATAAGTTTGGCACTCTGCTATGTGCACCTTGTTTTAACTTAAGGGTTATTATTGAATTTAGTAATTACTGCATTGTAAAAATATTATTGTAATGTAACATCATTTATTTCTTTTTCTTTCAAGCATTTGCATGTCTTTCAACAACTAAAGAGTACAAACAAATTGGAGATAATGTTACACTGCAGTTCCAAGCAACGACAACAAACTTTAGATACCCTGATTCATACGTGGTAAATTTCATTTTGTTTGACAATGGTAGCATCGTTTTAGGTGTGAGCTATAAAAATGGTTATAAATATGGATCATTTGATTTTGGTCCCTGTGAAAACTGTAAATTCGTTGGTAATATAGATACTGGAAACCTTTCTCTAAGACTGGATAATCTTCAAACCTCAAATGGCGGTACATACAGACATGAAGTTAAGGTTTCGGAAACGAGCGAGGAAATAAAAGAATGTATCACTGTATATGTTTTAGGTAAGACTTACTTTTAGTTATGGGCATTTTTTCCGAACTAAAACTTTGCTATTTCCGAAATGCGGAAACTCTTAATAATGTGTAATATCATTATAATAAAAAATGATTTTACTATTGCTCATTGTTAAGAAATAAATAATAAAATTCAGGTAACAAATTACACGAGCACAATGATTGTTGCTAACAAACTGTTTTAATAAGTATAAAATGTTACCGTACCCCACCCACTTTAATCCATTATTTGACCATTTCCCTAAAAAAGGCCTTATTCATATATCCGTAATATTCAACACAATAAGGAGCTGTTATCAAAGTTTACCTAAATTTTCTGAAAAGTATATTAAGGAAATAGATACCAATTCTGAGTGCATTGTTGTAGAATAATGCACGGTTTGAGTTCAAATGCGTAGTAATATATAATCACGAAGGCCGATAGGTCTGAGTGATTAATTACAAAGCATTTGAACGAAAAACGTGCATTATTTAAGAAATAATAAATCCCAAACTGTGATTTTATTGCTTAATTACATCACTGTTTGGAGTTCGGATGCGGGGAATTATATCACGAGTGATATAATGATGCGCCTCCGAACGACAAACAGTGATGTTATCAAGCAATAAAATCACTGATTTGGATATGTTATTTCGATTCTAACACGACATCAACAAATAATTGCTGAAGTACATGATAATAAGCTAAATTACGCGTGACTTATGGTCAGCGCGTCACATTTTTAGTGGTTACGTCACGTGTATAATGATTACGTCACATGTCTAAATATAGAACGCCAAACAGTGATTTTATAGCATACTAACACACACTTTCGGTTTTTCTATGTTCAATAGGGAAAAATGTGGGTCGTGTTAGAATATACAATAATGCAGAAAGAATTAATATCTATTTCCATTCTTACAAGTCAAGAAAATTTATAATTATTATTATAATGTTGGACTTTATGTTTGGTGGTTAAATTTGTTTTCGCCTCAGAGTTTCCAATAGAAGCGTTCTTTAAAGGCTGTTACAGTGGTATGAAAAAAACTGTCGTTAAATCTTCCGTGTGTAGAAACATTTTGAGAATAACGCATTTTGAAAACGTTGATAAAACTTTGTTTGTTTATTTTATTTCACTCTATAACTTTTCAAGTGAAATAAAAATTATCAAAAGTGAAATTAATGTAAAACTTAACTCGTTTGTGAAATTAAGCGTACTTGATTTCATTGTTTTGCACGTGCTGTTTGGCGCTACATTCTGACGTCACGTAAACAATACTTAAAACGTCTGTACAGCGTTAACGACTGAATAAAAGATATTGGTGTTCGGATTCATTTTCTTAGTTAGACCGTTTTCTTTCATTCTAGATAGTTTTCACAACAAACTTCGACAAAAATTTGGTTTTATTATATCAGATTTTTCAAACAAAATGTTCTACCTTAAGTGTATATAGAAGTCAGCTATGGTGTTCACAACGCACGAGGTCTTTATGATAAGTTTGTAGACTGGCTTGAGAGAAGCAGGGCGTAATGCAATATTTAAGAAATAATATATCCCAAACTGTGATTTTATTGCTCAATAACATCACTGTTTGGAGTTCGGATGCGGGGAATTATATCACGAGGGCGTAGCCCGAGTGATATCATGATGCGCATCCGAACGACAAACAGTGATGTTATCAAGCAATAAAATCACCTATTTGGATATTTTATTTCGAGTCTAACACGACATCAACAAATAAATGCTGCCGTACATGATAATTAGCTAAATTGCGCCTGATTTGTTTCCGTACTTGTCAGCGCGTCACTTTTTTAGTGGTTACGTCACGTGTATAATGATTACGTCACATGTCTAAATATAGAACGTCAAACAGTGATTTTATAGCATAATAACACACACTTTCGGTTCTTCTATGTTCAATAGGGAAAACGCGGATCGTCTTAGAATTTATTCATATATTCTACATACAAAATATAGTTCATTTGTTTTGTGTCACAGTACAAAAATCAAGTTATTAATACATCTAACAATTAACAAATGAAAGTGTTTTAAACACATCAACACACATCAACGTACCCCGGGACATGACGACATTAAAACACGCCAAGACAACGTCATATTCAAAAAGCTACAAGTACTTTTCGATGTATTGGACAGGTAGACGGACACAATTTTCATGCTTGTAAATCCACTTGAAGAATGTAAATTTCCAATCGCTAGTTACTGTTTCTGCAACAACAACTTGCATTCATAGCATACCAATCTCAAAATTTTGCGGAAATTAAATCATGATTTAGCTCAATGTCGCAACATTATCCTGTCAATTTACGTTAACGCTACATTGTTTCTTTATTTAGTATAAATATTACTACAAGGTTAGCTTTTAAAAAAGCTAGTAGCGGCTCGCTTCTTAATTCTTTTCAAGGGGTGTGTTTAAATGTAAAAATGACAGTTCTGTTAGCTGAAGAGACTTCAGCGAACATCAAAATAAAAGTGAAGTCAACACTGGCCCGGTGCCCGATGGCCAGTGTATATAAGTTCAGGCCAGTGTAAATTTAAGAAAATTTTGTTAATTATTTAGTAGAATAAATTCAAAACTGGAATTCGGGCCAGTAAATTCAAAATCTTAAACTCATTGACTGAAAGTGACATATAAAGTTCTCTCAGTTTAACCAAGATGAGTATGAGTATATATGAAGGTGCATGTAAACAGATAGAATGAAGAACCTATGTCTATGCACATTTACTATATGGCCTGTTGACCTTGACCACAAAATGTTAGATAGGTAGATTTCATAAAGATGTCTCTTTATACAAAATTAAGTTGTAATACATGTATGTTATTTAGTATTGGAATGAGAGGCACAAGTCCTAAAGTAAACACAAGTTGTCAATCAATTCAGCCAGAAAAAGCCGGGATCCTATTAAAAAATATAGGGATCCCGGAAATTGACCAGTCTAAGAAGATGTTTTTCAGATAAGCCGGGATCCTATTAAAACATATAGGGATCCCGGGAATTGACCAGTTCAAGAATATAGTTTTCAGAAAAGCCGGGATCGTATTAAAATGTAAATAGATCTCACGGATTGGCCAGTTCAAGTATATAGTTTTCAGAAAAGCTGGGATCGTTTTAAAACATATAGGGATCCCGGGATTTGACCAATTCAAGAAAATAGTCTTTGATTTTTCCAATTAATTAGGCATATAATTATAAGTATTGTGATTTCCGCATTTTAAGTTTGTTAATAAATAGCTCTAAATATATCTATATTCTAAGTTAAATTAATTTAACGTTCATTATATAAAATAAAAAAATAACGTTTAATGGCCTTTCATTACGACAACAATCAACACAAATATAGTTCATTAGGTTTTTCCTCCATATCTTATACGATCCCGGATCCCGGGCGTCCCGGATCCCGGTCAGTAAATACATACACTCAATACCGGAAAGGATAAAATGACCGGAAAAAAGGAAAAATAAAAAATGCACAGAACCAGATGTACACTTATTTAATTAACCAAACGAAAACTTACTACAGAGAAAACAGGTGAAATCGCTAAATCAGAAGTCAGTGTAAATATGATTTATTGAAAAGAATTCATAAAGACAAACATTTTAATCATCATTATATCTTTGCGCTCAAAACAATACTTGCTGATTTTTAAAAATGGCGTGAAAATTGAAGGTTTTTTGACGCTATGTAAGATTAAATTTGATTGGCTAAATAATTTTGGATCCTAGCCCTGATAGATAAATTTTGTAGAAAGCTGGAAGCCAAGCTTCGATTAAATTTTTGGATAGCTTCGGAGTTTTAGGTTGTTTCTCAGTAAAATCCTACCGTAATACCGGCTCGCCGTGGCGAGCCGGCATTATGTTAAAAATATTTAGTTCTCCAGATAACGTTACTATGACTACATGTTGCATTAGGTATGATCATGGTTGGATAGGTAAATATTTTTCCAGACAATATTTTACAAGTTTAGTATGAACCGGGGAAAGATCCTATTAAAACGATAATAACTAAAGTCTATTAAGTTATTAATCTAATTGAAGTCAGATCCTAAATAACGCCACGTATAAGGATCTGACGTTTAGCAATAGGTTGTCACTTTCTCGTGATTTTTCAAACAGCAAATCATCAGCGAGCTTTCACAATTATGAAAGCGGTGCGGTAATTAATACCGATAGTAGAAATTCTAGCTCAAATTTAAATATGGGTCATATGGGGTCAAAATTGTAGGGGCACACAGTCCAAAGATGGTAAACGTCGTTAGCACTGTAGAGATAAACACTTTATGCTCAAATTTCTTTAAGCGTAGATTGTTTCTAGTTTCAAGCTCAAATTAGAGTATGAGGCATCTAGGGTAAAACAAAGAGGTAAATATCAGGTTTGTCAAAAATGTCGTTACAAAAATTTTTTGCACAAGTTTTAATATGGGTTAGCTGGAGTTAAAAACTAGGTCACAGAGTCCAAATGCGCGAATGTTTTGCAATCACGCTAACTTAAGGTTACATACATTTCAAATATGGAAACATGTCAGAAAGGTTATTTTGATTTCTGTATCAGATTCAAATACGGGTCATCTTGGGTCAAGAACAAGGTCATACAGTCAAAATATGGAAAACCCCTTTTCACATTACCTTTTTCAGATGCAGATACATATATGATAGTTTTGATATCATTTTAAAATTTAAGAAATTGCATCTGCTTTTCATTCATAGTAAACAATATTAATTGTTCTTTGTAATTTAATGCCTTGATTATCAGATGAGCGATATACCGGTCATCATGACCCCGTTTGTAGGTTACTAGTACTAAGGATATCATTTTGTGGTAAGAAGCAATTTATGATACGAGTATAAGAAATTCTTTATAAATATATTTTGGTTCAAATTTATCAAAGCCATACTTTCTCTTTTCAAATGTTCAATCATTAACTTTACTCAAATATGACATAATCGTATATTTAGGGAAACAGACATTATCGTATATATAGGGAAAGACAACTATAGTCGATTGTAATTATTGTGACTAATAAGATCTTTCTTTTCCCCAGGTAAACCTGAAAAACCGACAATACAATATAGAACCGATAGTATTGAAGAATTGGATGTTCATCTGATCTGTAGCAGTAGATCAACTACTTATCCCTCAGATCATGACCTAAGTCTCCAGTACGATTGGAAAGTGGACACAGAACATAATCCTGTAGAATATAAGTACACATTCCGAAATATGATGACCATCGAAAATCCAGATAATCAAGATATAAACAAAACGTTTTCTTGCAAGGCTACAGAGTCTGGTTCTGACGTTACTGGTTTGACTTCTAGTTACAGTGATGAGTTTATGATTAACATGTCATGTAAGTAACAGTTAATTATACATTAAATGTCAAACGACCTTGTTATATGTGAACCGGTTGAAAAGAAGTACATGTACAAAGTTTCTAGTTTTTAAGAATCTAGGAAACTACTGTCTTATAGCATGGCATTTATATAATTATTATGTTTTCTTTTTTCATAATATAACTTCAGCAAATTTCGAAAAGCCAACAAAAATAGCAAGAATTTTACTGAAACAGACACATGCTGTCTTATACAGACGACGTAGCCAAGCTTTTGTTTTCTTCATATATTTTCATAGACCATCTTCACCAAGAAGATATCAAGCCAATATTGCTTTTCAAATGCACCAAAATCGTTTAGGGAACAACGTATTGTGGCAAAGATCTCTATATCGAATAAAAAGATTAAATGCAAATTATAAAAAAACACACACACACACACACAAATCGAGAAAAAAATGTCCATCTAAATCGACAGGGTTTGTTGGTTATTTTTACGCATATATGGAAAACTGGTTCTGTAACCTACGTTGATGCACTTTTTCCCGTGATAACTTAGGTTATTTTCTAGGCATAATCCTGCTATGAAATGTCCTTGTTTAAAACCGAAATAACGAGAACTGACTTGGCCCGTATTTGATGTGCTAATAGATTTTTTTCATCTCAACCCAATGAGCACTGAATAAAAATGAAAGCAAAATGCTTGTTTTAGAAAATAACCCACAGGAAATGCCTGTTTATGATACTGATAAGGGCGATCCTAGCGAGGATCCACTCCCAGTTATCACCAAAGTAAACCATAGGAATATTAAATCTTATCCAATATTGTCGATCAACTGCTGTTGTACATATTCAAGGCCAAAAAGTAAAAGTTATCTTATATCGAATAACATTATATACATTGCTATAAAGCCTGTCACATATGCTTATGTAAACATTACATTGTCGCGGGTCGCTTTAAGATAACACACGTGCAGCACGAAAATACATACGACAAAAAACAGGTCAACATTCGATAATGCAAACTGCGTCGACGTAGAAGGTCGCATGTTACATGGTTGCAATAACGTAGGCCATTTAAAAGCCCAAATGCGAAGGTTGGTCTTGCATTGTCATTGCATGCATGACAGGTCAACGCAAAACAGACGTACATCAACTGTTTGAGAAAAAATCCAACCCATCATACATCGGACTTTGTTTAATACTGGCGCTTTTTACGTAGTCGTACGACAAAGCCTTTACTTGAATCAATTTATGCAATGCGACAATCGGAACCACTTGGCTATTATTCATAATAACCTCGGACGTTAACGTATTGAAAGTAGTTCTACCACGTGTTTTATACGTGAACATAAACTTTGATAATTTTGCAAAGCGAGCACGGGATTTGCTGTAGTGGTTGTTTGTTAGTCTATTGAGCGTATGTGAACGTGGACTTTTGATGGGTTGTTTATTTTTACGTAATATGTTGTACTTGCGGCGGACATGACTCGACGGTCTATTGGAAGTGCTCGGGTAAAAACTATCTAAAGTTGTAGAAATTGTAGCAATATTATTCGAGCCAATACTAATCTACTATGTTGTTCTTTGTGTTGCTCTATGATCTCAAAAGATGAACGTAAATAAAAATCAAACGAAGACGCAAAGTCTTGGCTTTCTATAGTTGATATATCGCGGTAGTTTAAAATGAATGTCACTGACCGAAGAGTTGAAGTTTAACACAAATGGTTACACCATCGATTATAGTTAAAACAATTTGTTTAAATAACACAAGAAAAACTGCACACCGAAAGGAATCCTAGTTATGCCCCCACAGAGTGGGAGCATATAGCGTTGCACTTGTCCGTCCGAGTGTCCGTCCGTACGTCCGTCCGTCCGTCCGTATGTCCCGTAATCTTGTGAACGCAACTCCTCTTAAACCGAATGGCAGATTTTGCTTAAACTTCCAGGGATGAACAACCTTAATGTGTAGATGGTAGTAAAGGAAGGAATTTTTGCTGCGACCAAATTTAACAGAATTATGGCCCTTTGTTGATTTTTTCACTATATACTATGCAGAAATTTTGTGAACGCAACTCCTCTTAAACCGGATGGGAGATTTTGCTTAAACTTCCAGGGATGAACAACGTTAATGTGTAGATGGCAGTAAAGGAAGGAATTTTTGCTGCGACCAAATTTAACAGAATTATGGCCATTTGTTGATTTTTTCACTATATACTACGGTATGTAGAAATTTTGTGAATGTAACTCCTCTTAAACCGAATGGCAGAATTTGCTTAAACCTCCAGGGATGAACAACGTTAATGTGTAAATGGTAGTAAAGGAAGGAATTTTTGCTGCGACCAAATTTAACAGAATTATGCCCTTTGTTGATTTTTTCACTATATACTATGTAGAAATTTTGTGAACGCAACTCCTCTTAAACCGGATGGCAGATTTTGCTTAAACTTCCAGGGATGAACAACGTTAATGTGTAGATGGTAGTAAAGGAAGGAATTTTTGCTGCGACCAAATTTAACAGAATAAAGGCCCTTTGTTGATTTTTTCACTATATACTACGGTATGTAGAAATTTTGTGAATTTAACTCCTCTTAAACCGAATGGCAGAATTTGCCGAAACCTCCAGGGATGAACAACCTGAATGTGTAAATGGTAGTAAAGGAAGGAATTTTTGCTGCGACCAAATTTAACAGAATTATGGCCCTTTGTATATTTTTTAGCTATATACTATGTAGAAATTTTGTGAACGCAACTCCTCTTAAACCAGATGGCAGATTTTGCTTAAACTTCCAGGGATGAACAACCTTAATGTGTAGATGGTAGTAAAGGAAGGGATTTTTGCTGCGACCAAATTTAATAGAAATATGCCCTTTGTTGATTTTTCACTATATACTATGCAGAAACTTTGTGAACGCAACTCCTCTTAAACCGGATGGCAGATTTTGCTTAAACTTCCAGGGATGAACAACGTTAATGTGTAGTTGGTAGGAAAGGAAGGAATTTTTGCTGCGACCAAATTTAGCAGAATTATGGCCCTTTGTTGATGTTAAGTTTTCAACTTGTGGCACAAGTAGTCCAAAAAATATTTGACCTAGAGTCATAAGATTGACAGAACAGTGGCGTGAGGGGGCATCCGTGTCCTATGGACACATTTCTAGTTTAAGTAACTATTGTGTAGAAACTATCAACAATTTTAAAGAAATAATCGTAATTGATTCGAGTAAAATTTAGAATAAAATGCAAAAATAACTTTTATGTTTATTTACAAATTTAACAGAATTATATATGGCCATTTGTTGATTTTTTTCACTATATACTATGTAGAAATTTTGTGAACGCAACTCCTCTTAAACCGGATAGCAGATTTTGCTTAAACTTCCAGGGATGAACAACGTTAATGTGTTGATGGTAGTAAAGGAAGGAATTTTTGCTGCGACCAAATTTAACAGAATTATGGCCCTTTGTTGATTTTTTCACAATATATTATGTAGAAATTTTGTGAACGCAACTCCTCTTAAACCGGATGGCAGGTTCGCTTAAACTTCCAGGGATGAACAACGTTAATGTGTAGATGGCAGTAAAGGAAGGAATTTTTGCTGCGACCAAATTTAACAGAATTATGGCCCTTTGTTGATGTTAAGTTTTCAACTTGTGGCACAAGTAGTCCAAAAAATATTTGACCTAGAGTCCTAAGATTGACAGAACAGTGGCGTGAGGGGGCATCCGTGTCCTATGGACACATTTCTAGTTTTAGTAACTATTGTGTAGAAACTATCAACAATTTTAAAGAAATAATCGTAATTGATTCGAGTAAAATTTAATATAAAACGCAAAAAAATGTTAATGTTTATTTACAAATTTAACAGAATTATGGCCATTTGTTGATTTTTTCACTATATACTACGGTATGTAGAAATTTTGTGAATGCAACTCCTCTTAAACCGAATGGCAGAATTTGCTTAAACCTCCAGGGATGAACAAAGTTAATGTGTAAATGGTAGTAAAGGAAGGAATTTTTGCTGCGACCAAATTTAACAGAATTATGGCCCTTTGTTGATTTTTTCACTATATACTATGTAGAAATTTTGTGAACGCAACTCCTCTTAAACTGGATGGCAGATTTTGCTTAAACTTCCAGGGATGAACAACCTTAATGTGTAGATGGTAGTAAATGAAGGAATTTTTGCTGCGACCAAATTTAACAGAATTGTGCCCTTTGTTGATTTTTTCACTATATACTATGTAGAAATTTTGTGAACGCAACTCCTCTTAAACCGGATGGCAGATTTTGCTTAAACTTCCAGGGATGAACAACCTTAATGTGTAGATGGTAGTAAAGGAAGGAATTTTTGCTGCGACCAAATTTAACAGAATTAAGGCCCTTTGTTGATTTTTTCACTATATACTACGGTATGTAGAAATTTTGTGAATGCAACTCCTCTTAAACCGAATGGCAGAATTTGCTTAAACCTCCAGGGATGAACAACCTGAATGTGTAAATGGTAGTAAAGGAAGGAATTTTTTCTGCGACAAAATTTAACAGAATTATGGCCCTTTGTTGATTTTTTAGCTATATACTATGTAGAAATTTTGTGAACGCAACTCCTCTTAAACCGGATGGCAGATTTTGCTTAAACTTCCAGGGATGAACAAACTTAATGTGTAGATGGTAGTAAAGGAAGGAATTTTTGCTGCGACCAAATTTAACAGAATTATGCCCTTTGTTGATTTTTTCACTATATACTATGCAGAAATTTTGTGAACGCAACTCCTCTTAAACCGGATGGGAGATTTTGCTTAAACTTCCAGGGATGAACAACGTTAATGTGTAGATGGTAGTAAATGAAGGAATTTTTTGCTGCGACCAAATTTAACAGAATTATGGCCCTTTGTTGATTTTTTCACTATATATATTGTAGACATTTTGTGAACGCAACTCCTCTTAAACCGGATGGCAGATTTGTTTAAACTTCCAGGGATGAACAACCTTAATGTGTAGATGGTAGTAAAGGAAGGAATTTTTGCTGCGACCAAATTTTACAGAATTATGGCCCTTTGTTGATGTTTAGTTTTCAACTTGTGGCACAAGTAGTCCAAAAAATATTTGACCTAGAGTCATAAGATTGACAGAACAGTGGCGTGGCGTGAGGGGGCATCCGTGTCCTATGGACACATTTCTTGTTTTAGTAACTATTGTGTAGAAACTATCAACAATTTTAAAGAAATAATCGTAATTGATTCGAGTAAAATTTAGAATAAAACGCAAAAATAACTTTTATGTTTATTTACAAATTAACGGAATCATAAAAAATAAAACGTACGCTCAAAGTAGTTCGATAGGGCTGTATCACCCACACTGTTTTCACACTGTGATTATGACAGGTGTAAATAAACATGGCAATAACAATCATATATATCCCTAATACTTTATGTATTTATTCTTAAATTGTTAGGAAAATGGTGTTTTAAAGCCGCCTGCCTGTCTTCCAACAACTGACCAAACATTTTGAACACAAATTTTTGCACGCTGACTTGTGCACGCTGTTTAGTTTGGGGTTCATAGAACAAATGATAATTACTATATTGCAAAGTTGTTATTGTCCTATTACAAAAATTGTTTCTATTTCTATTTTTTACCAAGCGTTTGCATGTCTTTCAACAACTAAAGAGTACAAACAAATCGGAGATAATGTAACACTGCAGTTCCAAGCAACGACAACAAACTATAGATATCCTGATTCATACGTGGTAAATTTCATTTTGTTAAACAATGGCAGCATCGTTTTAGGTGTGAGCTATGAAGATGGATATAGATATGGATCATTTGATTTTGGTCCCTGTGAAAGTTGTGAATTCGTTGGTAATGTAGATACTGGAAACCTTTCGCTAAGACTGGATTATCTTCAAACCTCAAATGGCGGTACATATAAACATTTATTGAAGGATGAAGAATTCAGCGAGGAAATCAAAGGATGTGCAATTGTATATGTTTTAGGTAAGACTCGATTTTATATGTAAGGGAGCAAACTATACTAATCTAATAGAAATACCATATTTATTTCACACGTCACAAGATTGAACCAATGGACTTTCTGCATTTGCACAATGTGAATTCCGAATATAAATCATTATTTGACCCAATATTACCGATTTAGCTTAGACAATATTAGAAATTAAATTTACTGATTAGATTTTATCAAGTCACTTACAAAGTTGCATATCTGAGATTTGAATATATCGAAATTATGAAATTAACCAAGAAGTAACAGAAACTGGTTCAAATTGTGATGTATGTCTTGAGTTTTTTTATTTTACCCAGTACAGTATACTCACAGTATTTGCTATACCAAGTACACTAATACTATACGTCGCCGTAGAAGTCAATTCTGGCGTTGCTCCATCTCAGAAAAAGTTGTATTTGAGTTTATGAAGAGGGGAAAAAGAAGTAATCTATTTAGATTTCTATTTTTGAACGAGACTTTGTACCTCAGGCAATTTTTCTCGATTTAGTTTTGAATCGAAATCCGATTATATACGGCGTACAGTTCCATATCGTGAATATGTTACTATCGTATATTTGTAGAGAAAAAAAAAAACAACTTTGGTAGATAGCAATAATTTTCTTATGATATTTTCACGATTAGTTAAATCTTTTATTTCCTTCAGGCAAGCCAGAAAAACCGACAATACAATCTAACAACAGCAACAACAACGGTAGTATTGAAGAATTGGATGTTCAGCTGACATGTAGCAGTAGATCAACTACATATCCCTCAGATCATAACCTAAGTCTCCAGTACGATTGGAAAGTGGACACTGAATATAATCCCCAAGAATATGAGTACTCAAAGACAAAGAATAAATTGACCATCAAAAATCCAGATAAACAAGATATAAACAAAAAGTTTTCTTGCAAGGCTACAGAGTCTGGTTCTGACGTTACTGGTTTGACTTCTAGTTATAGTGATGAGTTCATGATTAACATGTCATGTAAGTAACAGTTATTTATAGATTCAACGTCAAACGGCGTTGTAATATGGGAACCGATTAAAAAAGTTTCTAGCTTTTTTGTTTTAGAATCCTACTTATTAACCAATCGTGAGGCATTTATAGAAACTCTTTGTTTGCAATTTCTATAATACAACTTCAGCAAAATTCAATTTGCAAACACAACTAGCAAGCATGGTTACTGACATATTCAAACATCTTAGCCAAGCTTGTTTAGGGTTTTCCACATACATTTCACATAACATCTTGACAAAAAGAGAACAAGTCATTTATAGTTCCTCTAGTTTACTAATTAATTCACAAATTGTACATTAAGTATATGCAAGAAATATTACGGCATTCATCGAGAAAACAAAAAAGTCTTACCACAAAACGTAAATCCATTTCATCTGTTTCAACGGTTTTGGTTCGTTGATTTTTTAAATATTCTTAGGTCCACAGGTTCCGTAACACCTTCGTTTTTATAAAACATAGACAAAAACATATCTTATTTGTAGTGTTGCGTTGTAGAGAAGGGTGTGCAAAACGAAACTTGAATTGATATATCTCATTAACAAAGCTCTTCTGATATCCTAGCTGTCACATTAGTATTATGAAATTCATTAATTGGAAATAAAGACATTAAGAAGTACGGTCACCACTTGTAAGTCTATGGACGGACAACGTTACGGACGGACAGCGGTAAATACATACCCTTATGCCCACATGTGTGGGCATAAGATCCAATTATGATTGGTTGTAGCATATAGCGTTAACGGCGTCTGACATTATATTACATCCTTACATATTGCACATCTTACAAAAATAAATAAGACCTTACGGAAGTAAATGTGATGCGCAATATATTCATCATAAAATACACATAAACCTTTTATTTAGATCATATCCCAAATAAGTTCCTTATGTGGGATTTTATAATTGGCAGTTTTGATTGGTGAATAACTTTTATTCTCTTTTAAATTAATCAAAATATTTTTTTTTAACAGACACGAAACAGTTGGAAATTAATCAAAATGAAGCTGAGGACGGCACATTCACCAGTTGGGTGATAGTTGGAATTGTTTTTGGTTTTCTCACCATAACATTTGGAATCTGTGCATCTTGGTTTGCTTTCAGGTGGAGACAAGCTGTTTCAAAAGGTAACATATCTGAGTTGCTGATATTCAAGACGGAGATCTTTTCATTATATAGTACTGTAAACTGTGCATGAAAGTGGTTTATAACTTGTAAGCTCTACATTTTTACAAATACTGACTTAAAAAAATGTTAGAAGATAAAGCCATTATTTGAGTTTTGTTTTTAAAACATTTTACATTCATAAAATAAATAAATAAATAAAAAATTAATAATGTTTGCACAAAAACAAAAAAAAAATTGGAAACAAAGTGATCCCTCGGAAGCATTAATCACAACAAAATTACATGAGAATTGCAGACTCGGTTAGATTGAGTCTGTACATGAGGGATAATTAATACGTGCAACATCCCTCACATCCCTAGCACCGAAAACACTGGTTATACATGTGAATTATTATGATTCTCTTTTCAGGTGCAGCGGAGTCAAACGGAGAACTGACAGCACAAGCGTAAGTCTTTTAACTATTTTTACTAAGAGCAAAAAGCCTAAAACATAAAATTTGAATTTCTTACATAGATCAGCTAGGTCACTTAAAACAGAAAGATATGCAAAAGTCAACAGATAAGAAATATAATCAGAAATAAATCGGAAATAATATTTTGTGTTTTTCTTAGACTGATAAGAGAGAAACACTTTACAACGCTTACCGATTTTGGGTCATATTTCACAATTTGATGAATTATCCTGGAAAAACTGAAAATGCTGAGAATGCACTTTTCAAATTATCAATTTTTCACACAAAATAATGGACTAGATTTACAATGAAACATTCATCTAGAAAAATTATTTCCAGTCCCTTCATGTCAAAAGCCTCAGTGGAGTCCCATTAGTATTGCTTTACCAAACGGTATTCATAATTGTCCAAAATACTGCTACATTTGAAGCATACTCCTGTAGAAATTTTATTTTCGCATCAACACAGTGAAGGCATGTGTGAGGACTTTAGCTTTTCTGGCGGAGGAAAATCTCAGATGTCCCTGCATGATTTATTTCAGGCACGGGCTGGCACCTCTAACCACCGACGTTCCGTAAGAAGGATAGCTTCCGCAAATGAAATAATCTAAACTCCTTGGTGGGATTTGAACTTACAGTGGTGATGGGCAAGAGATGTAATGTCAAAGACGTAAATCAATTGGCAACGGACTCCCCGAAACAAGTGTATAATAAAACACCAATTTAAGTTTATTAACAAGAAATAATATTCATTTACGTGTTTCAGGGCGTACGTGAACAGTGATATTGTTTTGCAACATGCTGAATCGAGCAGGATCCGAGATGAACACATAATTGAAGCCGATTCTGTAAATCTTTACACAGACCTAGCCTATTACTCAAGGGATGAACAGTCATCATACGAAGTTCTTAGAGGAAACAAAGGAAATGTACTTTTTACAATTTAATATCTGTGCTGTACGAAATGCAGATTTTGATTGAAACGTGACTAGTTGAAATGAAATTACAATGTTTACTTTTCATTAAGACACATTTTTAGCTTACCTGTCACAAAGAGACAAGGTGAGCTTTTGTGACAGCGTGGTGTCTGTCGTCCGTCAGTCCGCCCGTTCGTGCGTTAACTTTTTCAATCAAATGACTGCTCCTCTAATACCACTTGCCAAAATTTAATGAAACTTGGCAGGCATGTTTTTGCATAATGCTCTAACAAAGTTTTTAAAGACTTATATTCCTTGAAGAACTCTGGTTGCCTTGGCAACCAAAATATCAAAATATCTAAAAATCACAAGGCCTTGAGCCTTGATATTTGGTATGTAACATGATCAAGTGGTTCTCTACAAATATTGTTCAAATTATGCCCCTAGGATGAAAAAGGGCCCTGCCAGGGGGCTTATCAATTTAAAGGAAAACAATATTAAAATTTTCTTGGCAAAAACCACAAGGCCTACTGCTTTGATAATTGGTATGTCACATCATCTAGTCGTCCTCTATAAAGATTGTTGAAATTATGCCCCTAGGGTCAAAAGGGGCCCCATTAGGAGGCTCATCAGTTAAACATAAAGTTATTTAGGGAATCTTAAAAACTCTCCTTGTCAAAAACTTGTAAAATCATATAGTAATCCTCTACATAAACTGTTCAAATTATGATCATAGTATCAAAAAGGGCCATTAGTGCAGGCCAGGGGGTCATTAGTTTAACATAGAGTTATACAGGATTTAAAAAAACAAAACTCTTTTGTCAAAAAAAAACCCCACAAGGCCTAGAGCTTTGATATTTGGAGTGTAACTTCATCTAGTGGTCCTCTAAAAAAATTATGCCCCTATGGTGAAAAGGGCCAATTTTTGGGCTCATCAGTTTGACATGGAGTTATATAAGAATTTTAAAAAAATCATCTTGTCAAAAACCACTAGGCCTAGAGCTTTGATATTTGGTATGTAACATCAACAAGTGGTTCTCTACAAAGAGTAAATCATGCCCCTAGGGTCAAAAGGGGCCCGATATGGGGACTCATTAGTTTTACATAAAGTTATATTTGGAAATTAAAAGTCTTGTTAAAAACTACAATACCTAGACCGTTGAAATTTGGTCTGTAACATGATCTAGTGGTCTTTCGACCCATCTGTTTGTCTTTATGGCATGCATCCATGCCTGAGATGAGCGACATAGTGCCCAAAGGTCCTCTTGTTTTATTTTGTTTGATCTTTTCCAGCTTTTCCAAGTTAATAAATATAGTTGTCTAAATCAAGTTAGAATGTATAATGAATAAATAGATGTTTGGATATGTACTTTTAAGCACATATCATAGTCGTAATGAAAATAATTAGTAAATAACAAATATAGTTTGCAAATACGGTATTTTTTATTGGCTCTGCCTAAAGATTTTTTATGTTATGCTGCTAGATATTTATGTGTTTAAGAAATTTTATTAAATTTTCCAATGTCTTATTTCAATGTATAAGATAAATATGTGTAATGTAGGATCACGTGTAAATTATACTAAAATTTAAATTGTAAACAAATCTGCAGGTAGAATCCTTCTATTAGGCACTACAAGTACAGTACTGAAAATTGACAACATAATTTTGTAAATATATGGAAGCAAAATTTAAAAAAAAATACTGAAGGGTCTGGACTTAAGAATTAAGAAACAATATATTCCAAACAATGATTTAATCGCTAAATAAAAATCACTGTTAGGAGTAAGGATGCGAGGCATTTTATCAAGAGGGTGTAACCCGGGTGATATGATGATGGGCATCCGAACGACAAACAGAGATTCTATCAAGCGATAAAATCACCAATTTGCATATATTATTTAAATTCTAAAATGACATCAACAAATAAATGCCGCCATACCTGATATTAAGCTAAATTGCACCTGATTTGTTTCTACTTATTTTCAGCGCGTCGCATTTTTAGTAGTTACGTCACATGTCAAATGTCTACGTTTGTATGTTTAAAAATATTACGTCAACAGTGATTTTATTTAGGAAATAGATAACAATTCTGAGTGCATTGTTGAAAAATAATGCATGGTTTCAGTTCAATGCCTAAGAATATAATTACGAAGGCCGGTACGCCTTAGTGATAAATTACAAAGCATTTGAACGAAAACCGTGCATTATTTAAGAAATGATCTATCCCAAGCTGTGATTTTATTGCTCAATAAAATCACTGTTTGGAGTTCGGATGCGAGGAATTATATCACGAGGGCGTAAACAAAGTGATGTAATGATGCGCATCCGAACGACAAAGTGATTTTATCAAGCAATAAAATCACCGATTTGGCTATATCATTTCGATTCTAACACGACATCAACAAATGAATGCTGCGTACCTGATATTAAGGCTTTCCGGTCGGCTGAAAAAAAAAACAAAAAAAACTGTTGCTTAGTCTTCCGTTTACAGAAACATTTTAAGAATAATGAATTTTGAAAACGTTGATAAAATTTGTGTGTGTTTATTTTATTTCACTTTATATTTTTCAAGCAAAATGCAGATTAAATAAATATGAAATTTAATTGGTTTGCGACTTTTAATTAGCGTTCTTGTTTCGACTTTTTTGTGCTACATTGTGACGACACGTCAACGTGAATGACTGAATAAAAGATATTGGTGTTCGGATTTACTTTCCTAGACCATTTTTTTCATTCAAGATAGTTTTCACAACAAAATTCGACCAAAAATTGTTTTTTTTATTAATCAAATTTTTCAAACAGAATGGCGCCGTCAATGTGCCGGTTTGAAAATACACAGGGAGGTAATAAGAACGGCGAGTGCATTGTTGTAGAATAATGCACGCTTCTGGCCTTCTTTGTCCATATAGGAACATTTCCGATAGTGTTAGAGTGCATAATAACTCACACTTTCGGTCCTTCTATGTTCAATAAAGGAATAATTAGGGTCGTGTTAGAATTATTGTTAATCATTTAGATTATTATACAGTTATTTTCGTATGTGATTTGGGAACAGTCAAAATGTAGGCCCAAGGTTGAGGGGAATTTTTTTTGAACTGTCGCCGGAGGCCGTGGGCAACAATTTAAAACACTATCGCAGACACCGACTTTGTAAGAAATTCAATTTCTATGTTTCAGGCTTTTAGACGATCCAAACATACGTGATGTCATTCGTGTGATAAGTGTGTCGGTTTATGTAAATAGTTATTTTGAAGGGTTTGATTTGACAGATAAAGGATTGTGGATATAGACATGTCTTTTTAACACTCAAGACTTTAATTTGAACTGAATTTACTTTGACTGGTAAAAGTTCTTTCGTTGCCAATGTCAGAAAATCTTCTGCATATACTAGCATTATATTATTTAATAATAATACAATAACAAAACTTGGAAACGTTTAGAATTACATCAGACAGGTCCCTTGAAATAGTCTGAAATGACATATACACACAACATATATCAGCATTATATTATAATACATGTATAATGGCAGAACTTGCAACTTTCTTTGCCAATGGCAGAAAATCTTCGAACTTCAAAATACGCCACACGTTAAGAGGTAAGTGTATGTAATAGAGGTGTTTACGACTGGGACATACGGATAAATGGACAATTTAACTTTATTACTCAAACAAACGAAAGAGCCATGTTCCATTTAGGTTCGCTATATGTTTTGTTGCTTCCGATAAGACTTGACTTATTATTTACATTTTTCATTGAATTTAAGACGTAAATTAGCAATGTTTTCATTACATTGTTCACAGTAGTTTCCATCAAGTTTCCCGTCCACAGCCGAAAGCTTTCCAATTGCGCCAATAAACGGCGCAAACTTCTTATAAGCATACGTTTTTATGAACTGCTTCTCTATTTCACCTATATTGTACAAATCACAAGCTGGTTTGCCAGTTGTATTACGTTGTAAGTTACTAGAACGAGTTTTTGTAAAGAGGTGGTTGCGCCAGTAAGTAGACATCTGTACTCCACAGCATACTCGGAGGATATCCCAGTACTTCAGATATTCCACAATGTGTTTCATTTTCTCTTGTGGCATGCCAAATATGGTCTGATATTCTTCCACAATCAAATAGCCTTGTTTTGAAACTAAATCCATGTCCGCAACAAGCGGAATCCTGAAATGTTTCGCTTCTATTTTCCGTTTATCTCTTTTGTTTCTTGCCTTTTGATTTTCTGATAGAGCACTGCTGTTGGTCATAAAAACCCATGTGTTCGAAGATAAATTGGTTTTCAAAAAATCTGAAATAGTATGGGTCTTAATAACATTGTACTTCTTCGTGTCCTTTTTGTTAAACGTGCATCCGATATTTTGCATTTCGTCTTCATGCATAAAAGCCATCATTAAACATAATATTTGGAATTGTAGTGTTGTCGCTGTACGTGGCATTCCATACTGTAGTATTACATCAGGCACGTTCCTTGAACTTGTCTGAAATGAAAAATACCACATTTATTCGTTAGCATAATATGATTGTATAGTGGCGAATCTTGAATAACATCAGGCAGGGGTGTCTTAAACTAGTCTGAAATGACATATACATTCCACAAATATTATCATTATATGATTGTATAATGGCAAAACTTGGACATTTTTAGAATTAAATCAGGCACGTCCCTTGAACGTGGCTGAAATGACATATTTATACCACATTATTAGCATTTTATCATAATAGAATGGCATAACTTTCAAAATTTTAGAATTACATGAGGCACGTGTATTGAGATTGTCTGAAATGACATAAACATTCCACATATATAATTACATTATATGATTGGAAATAGAATTACATGGGCACGTGTATTGAGCTTGTCTGAAATGACTTATACGGCTTTATATGATAATAGAATTGCAAAACTTTAAAAAATTTTTTTAGAAAAACATCAGGCACCTGTCTTGAATTAGTCTGAAATGTATTTTATGTATGCACATATATACTTATATAACAGGACATTCAGGTGTTTTAAAATTAGAATACATAAAACAAGAACCATCATTTATAAATGTAAACTATGATAGTAGATAACGTTTAAGAAACATTAACAAATGTGTATTAAATGTAAGAATTATGAAACAAAATAGAATTAAACGAAAATTTCGAAATTTTCTACTTTACCAAAGTACTCTTCCACTTACGTCTAATTTAGATTCTAAATACGGATAAGTTAGTTCGTAATTACTATTTAGTTATCCTGGGGTGAGAAATCAGAAGCTTTCGTTAAAATCACGCTAACGAAAGCGTTAGCGATCGCGTAACGAACATGTTAGTTATTTCTAAGATTTTTTTTGTTGCATAACCAGAAATCATCGTTACGTTATCGCTAATCAGTCGTTAGTAAAATTCATTAACGAAATCGTTGTGTATTCGTTAAGGGTATACA